TCCTCATTGGCCTTCATCTCTATGTTTAAATTCAGCAATAGAATTTTTAGGTTTTAGCTTTATCACTCAGAACTTTGTAGCATAAGAAGTGCTAAATGCCATCACTAAACAAAAAAACAAGTTATGCTCTGGAAGATTATGTGCTTCTTTATATCTTTCTCAAGTAATTTTTCAGAAGCTGGTTTAAACGTGAGTTCGTCTGATTTGTGAAAAGTATGGTTAGTACTAGACCTGCAGCTTTCGTTGTTTCAACTTTGCATTAAGTATGCTTAAAATTGCAGTTAAGGAATCTGCTAGTGGTAACTTCTTGTTCTGACAAATCCCAGTCCCTTCTAAAACAGAACTGTGCGTTCCAGGCCTGGTCATTTTGTTAATCTTACATTTGAATACCCTAACTATCTATAACACAGAACATAGAGTGCTGTCACGCTTAGTGGGACGGGTAATTGTATAATTCTGGTTGTAAATTTTAACCATGTGTTGTGATTGTTTCAGCGCCTGCAAATTCTGTACTCCAAAATCCTTGCTGTCCTGCAGAACATTCCCAAAGACGCAGCGTATAGGAAGTACACAGAGCAGATTGTAAATCAGAGATATAATTTGGTGCAAACAGTAAGTACAGTGCTGTTTCATGAGTGTTACACATGGTAAGATTTGTAGGATGACAAAAAGGGTTTTGAACGACTCACTGTTTTCCAGGAGTATAAGTGACTTTGAAATATCAATTCAGAAATAATCAGTCTTGAGTACTTTGATGGTACATCAGAAATAATTGCTTTCTTAACCATATTGCCTGTGAAAATTAGAAGAATAAGTACTTTCTAAGATTGACGAAACTGGTATGTGCTTTTCACATTTGCACAAAAACTGTCCTCTTACCGGTGTGTTACATTCATACAGTCTTTGTCCTGCACGTCTGAAAGCAGGTAACTATTAGGAGGTTACACAATATTCTCTATAAAACCTAAGATCAGAATCTTCTTTGAAGGTTATATACTGCAGCCCTAAGTTTTTAATGCCTGTTTGGATGTCATTAAGCGGTACTCTAATTTAGTATTTCTCATGGAGAGGTTGATGTTTGGTTTCCAATAAGAAACCTGTGAGGGATTTTTTTTTTTTTTTTTAATGAAGTAAATGACAAAAACCAGCTAACTAGATGGTAGTTTTGTGGAATCACAAAAATGAATCACAGAATTACAGAATCACAGAATGGCCAGGGTTGGAAGTGACCTTAAGGATCATGAATCTCCAACCCCCTGCCACAGGCAGGGCCACCAACCTCCCATTTAATACTAGACCAGGCTGCCCAGGGCCCCATCCAACCTGGCCTTGAGCACCTCCAACCTCTCTGGGCAGCCTGTTCCAGCACCTCACCACTCTCTCTGTAAAGAACATAAAGGAAGGCTGGAGTGTGATCTGCCCAAATTAGTATTTTCATGATGTGTCTGTTCTTTCTACTTTTCAGTACAGCTAAATCTTTATTTGTTTGAATTCTCAGGAAACTGATGTGCAGAAACTACAGGACAAACTGAATAGTGGTCAACTAGAAGAAGTCATTGTACAGGTAAAAGAGGGAAACTTAAGATCAGGTGTAAGTTGAGTTAGTAATTTTTAGCGTTCCTTTGGCTGTTCAGAATATGGGCATTTTTTCCACGTTTTTCCTCTGCTGCAAAACAAACAGCATATAAATGTGTGTGTATATACATATATATGTGTGTGTGTGTGTATATATATATATATATATACATATATGAGTCTGAATCTTCCTATAGTGAATGGGATGACCATATTAAAAATGAACATGATAATTCACATTTACTGTATTATTATGCCTAATATATATACTGTGCATACTTACCTTGCAGAGTCTGAATCGACCAAAAAAAGAGGACAGAAGATGGCAGGATGATGTGGGAGGTTAATCCAAATAGACTGGAGAATGTCAGGGATGAGCTTATCATAAAGTAGTCATTAGGAATGAGGTGAACAGATTGCAGGCATTTGGGGGTGACTTGGCACATCTTAAATTCACAAAGCTGCTTTTGGGGGAAAAGAAGTACCATAGTTAAACATAAAATTTGACATTGTCCCTGATTACGACAGGTAGTGGCACATCATTGAGATGATGAACTGAACTAAAGGTGGTTTCATATTCTGGCAGTTGTATAGAATTTAAGAATTTGTTTAATGTATGGTCTTTATTAACAGGCTGAAAATGAGCTTTCCCTGGCAAGAAAAATGTTACAGTGGAAACCATGGGAGCCTCTAGTTGAAGAACCTCCTACTGACCAGTGGAGATGGCCAATATAATACTGAAAATGGCGTAACCTCTTGAAAGTCAAAAAAGTTGAAATATAATCTATTACTGACAGTACCTTTAAATTAAAAAAGTGACTTAATAAAACCATGCTTTGTCTTAATGTCCACTATATACAGCAATCTAAAGATTGCTACCATTTTCTTGCAAAAATGGCTTTAAGAATAGTCAGCTTATTTACAACCATTGATTCATTTCTTTTTGTCATTTGCTGATTAACAGGGTACTTATTTGTGCACGATAAGGTTATAATCTGTATGTGTATATTAGCAGATACAGGTATTTCATTTGAAATCAAAATCAAAGTTGTAGAAAAGCACGGTTCTGCCTTTTTCTGCCATTGATGGTTGTGTGTTTTTGCTGTCTTTGTAAAGCCAGTACCAGTGTCTATATGACCATGCAGGTATCAGTATTAGGGATCTGATGTAATGCAAGTCAGGCTTACCAAAAATAATGTTTTTTAGTTTTTAGCTGAATCACTGTCCCAAACTAGCTGACTCCACTGGCCACATAAGCAATAATTCTGGCTCAGGGAGATGCTGAGAAGCAGGAATGGTTTTCTTCATTTTCAGGTAGCTTACCATACTTAGCATGATATACGTGGCACAAAATTTTAACATCACTCTAATTTTGTATGTGTAGGATTTGGTTTTGTATATAAGTGTGTACTTCATTGGTTTATTTGTATATTACTGATTCAGACCTGGAATATTACTGTTAAGAAAAAATAATGGATTTTTGTTGACGTGTGCTCTTTCCATCTAAATGCTTGAAAGAAGAACCAGCCACACATCTCCAATCTCAAAACTATTTTAGAAATCTGAGTTTGACAGACTAGATCCAGGGTCAGTGTGCGAGTTTGTCTTTGCTCACAGTTTCTCAGTGCCATTAATAATGTTGATGGAAGTTTAAAGATGAGCTGTATGACAAAAATCTGCAGCTTGTTAAAGGTTGACAGTTCCAGTGCATTATGTTTCATACGTACTTTGTAATAGATATACAGACTTTAGAACCATCAGTTTACATCTGTCTAATTACCTGTGACTAATTATGTCGTAGATATATGAGTATAGGTAAGGTATTAGGGCATTAGGCAAGTGGAAGAGAACCTACTGGGTATAGCCTGTATAAGCTATGTAGTGCTTGCGTGCCAGTAATTACTTCTACAGCAACTTTAGAGGGATTTTTCCCACTGATTATTGGTGAAATCACAGAAGTCTTAAACTCTCCACAATTCAAAAAGTTGAAAATATTACACTTCGTTGGTAGATTTTGACAGCTATTTCAGCCTTGTGAAAAGCTGGTTTCTTCTAAGATAAAGCCACTAGGTGGCATTATTGAAAAGGACTTCACTGTGACTTGCAAACAATTTCCACATGAGAAATACTGAAAAATTGTAAACCTGAATGAGTGTGAATGATGTCAGATGATGATGATGACCCCAAAACAAAGTATTTTGGCTAGAAATTCTTGAGATGGAAACACTGGCAAAATGCAGTAACAGCTATTGCAATTTGTTTCTATTCTTTCATGACAGAGAGCTGAGCTCTCATTCCATTACATACTCTGCTTCTAAAGCTGTGTTTGTCATATGAATTATCTGTCCTACAAGCTAGTGAATTATATTGCAGGGCAGAAGTCTCTTACTGTCTCACTAGTGATGAAATTTGATAGCCAGCATTAAAGACAGAATCACCAAGGTTGGAAAAGACCCACAGAATCGCTCAGTGCAACCATCCACCATCATCAATAGTTCTCACTAAACCATGTTCCCTCAACACAGCATCCAAATGTTCCTTAACACCTCCATGGTCGGTGACTCCACCATCTCTCTGGGCAGCCCATTCCAGCTTGACCATTCTTTCAGAGAAGCAGTATTTCCTAACATCCAGCCTGAATCTCCTCTGGCATAACTTGAAGCCATTCCCTCTAGTTCTATCACTGTTACATGAGAGAAGAGGCTGACTCCAAGCTCACTACAACCTCCCTTCAGGTAGTTGCAGAGAGCAGTAAAGTCTCCCCTGAGCCTCCTCTTCTCCAGGCTGAACATTCCCAGCTCCTTCATCCTCTCCTCATATGGCCTGTGCTCCAGACCCCTCACCAGCTTTGTTGCCCTTCTTTGAACCCGCTCCAGGGCCTCAATGTTTTTCTTGCAGTGAGGAGCCCAAAATGGCACAGTACTCGAGGTGCAGCCTCACCAGAGCTGAGTACAGGGGGACAATCACTGCCCTGTTCCTGCTGGCAACACCGTTCCTGATGCAAGCCAGGATGCCACTGGCCTTCTTGGCCACCTGGGCACACTGCTGGCTCATGTTCAGCTGAGCATCAGTCAATATCCCCAGGTCCATTTCCTCTACGCAGTCCTCCAGCCACACCGCCCCAAGCCTGTAGCGTCACCTGGGGTTGTTGCGGCCGAAGTGCAGGACCCGGCATTTGGCCTTGTTGAACCTCATCCCATTGGCTTCAGCCCCTCTCTCCAGCCTGTCCAGATCCCTCTGTAGGGCCTCGCTACCCCCAGGCAGATCCACACTTCCAGCCAATTTGGTGTCATCTGCAAACTTACTGAGGGTGCACTCAGTGCCCTCATCCAGGTCATCAATAAAGATACTGAAGAGGACAGGCCACAGCACTGACCCCTGGGGAACATCATTCGTGACCTGGGGAACATCATTCGTGACCAGCTGGATTTGGCTCCATTCACCACCACTCTCTGGGCCCGGCCTTCCAGCTAGTTCCTTATCCAGCCAAGAGTGCACCTGTCCAAGCCTCTGGCTGCCAGCTTCTGCAGGAGAATGCTGTGGGAGGCAGTGTCAAAGGCTTTGCTGAAGTCTAGGTAGACCACATCAACAGCCTTTCCCTTGTCTACCAGACAGGTCAGTAGATCATAGGAGATCAGGTTGGTCAAGCAGGACCTGCCCTTTGTGAACCTTTGTGCTGGCTAGGCCTGATCCCTGGTTGTCCCGCGCGTGCCGTGTGATCTCCCTCTGCTCCATAACATTCCTTGGCACCGAGGTCAGGTTCCACTCTCCAGAAGTTCACCTCTTCTCCCTTTCTCAAAGGCAGAAATAAGTTCTTGCAACAGACTTACTGCCTTGAAGGGTATTTTTACAGCTACATTTCCTATTTATAGCCACAGTGCTTTGGCTGCTCTATAAATGGTTCTTTCAAATCTCTCAAAATAGGATCACTTTTTTTTATCTATCAAAACACTGAATTAGCTTTCACTCATACTTCAATTTAGGAATCCATTATCCCAAGTATTAGAAAGGTTCTACTGTGAAGCCAAAGTCTAGAAATCACGAAGGATTTTTCAGATTTTTATCAAATTTTCAGCATGCATTATAAGTTCTTTTAATGCTTTATTGCTGGCTAAATTTTGCTCTACTATTTTAGAAAGCAGGAATTAACTCCATTTATGCTACCCAAGATTATTAGTAAGTTATGGGTTATTGAGAACAAAGGCGGGGAAGACAGCAGATTGAAGCGCTGAGAGAGATCAGCGTGTGGGCAGTGTTCTCACTAGTTTAATTCTTTGCCAAGAGGAAGAACAAAGTAATTGTGGGGGGAGGAGAAAGCATTTTCCAAACTGAAGCTGAGTTGGAATGCTGAAGGCAGTTAGATGACAGTAAAGCAGAGCTCTTTCCAGGGAGCAAGTCACTTTCCGGCTGGTTCTGCTCTGAGCTCGGGCTCAGCTCAGGATTTAGAGAGAAAGCAGCAGGCCTGCGTACACGAGCCTAGCGGAGCCTCGCACCGAGCGCGGGACGGCGCGCACTGAGGAGGCGAGCGCTCAGCGGCGCCGCAGCCCCGCACCCACAGCCGCCCGCCGAGCAGCCGCGCACATGGCGCCGCCGTCTCCCGCCTGGCTTCACCGCGCACGCTCAAGTGCTCCTCCAGCCCCGCCCTGCGTTGCCGTGGCTACCGCAACGCGCTGCCCGTGCGTGCAGCGCCACCATGGAGAGCCGCCCGGGACGGGAGGTCCTGCGGGAGCCCTGCAGGGATGGCACCGGAGCGGGGAGCGCCCCGCGGCGCTGAGCGGCACCCAGCACCTGGCGCGACGGCCGATGTGAGGGCGCTGGCGCGGGCCGTGCTGGGAAAGCCGCGCGGATGCACCTCCAGGGGGGCGCGGGGCTGTGGGCGGGGCCGGCGTCCCAGCGGCGCTACGCCGGGCCGGGCGGGGTTCTGCTCTTCCGCGGATTCCCGAATCTCCCCTATTTGTATCTATCAGAGTATATGAAATATTCCTACCTGTGTGTTCCTTATCATGCGTATTCATGCATATATATACATACATACATACATATATATATATATATAAGCTCTGCTGGCTGCCTGCTGGCACATTATGGCTTTCACAGAGCAGTAAGATGTTTTGTGTTTTGCTCTGAGTAAAAACTAAGACCTGAAGCTATTCTAAATAGGCTGCTTGAAAAAGAATTCGGGAGAAGCTTTGCAGGATATTGCCGCTCCTGTGATGATAACAACAAACCTGTATGTGTTTTTAATAGGTACTGCAAGCATTCCTGCAGAAAGGTTAAAAAGTTGAGCTCGCCCTTTGGAGATGGAAGGTGCCTCGGAGAGCTGCCCCTCAGGTGTTCCAGCAGGAGCACGGGCAGCAGAGCAGCCTCCTGCAGGGCCCAGGCAGGCTGGCAGCACGGAGCCGTCCGGCGAGGCCCTGCTTCACCCTGCTGCCAGCACGATGCAGGCAGAGGAGGGCTGCAAGCTGCTGGCCTCCTGGGAGCAGGCAGGGGCAGCTCTGCAGGAGGCACCTGGAGAAGGACTCTGTCATCAGGAGGTGATGGATGATGGCAACCAAGGTGTGCTCGAGCCACAGAACCCCTTCAGTGCGTCACCTGAGAATGCATCTCCTGTTGCCGTTACAAAGTCCTCTACATTACCTGAATTAAGAAGTTCAGAAAGGGAAGAAGAAACATCTCAAAATGCATCGCTGTCAGAGAATGTGACAAGTTCAACAGGGACAGGTAAAGAATTGTTAAATTGTTGGACATTACTGCTCTAAAGGGATTCTTTTGTTCAATCTGATGATGCCTTCTTGTGCTCCCTACACTCTTGTTCTGTTAACATTTACAGGTTCTTGGTTTTGAGGTGACTTTTAAAATTCTTAAATGAAACACAATTGAAAAGGCGAGAGATATATTGTTTATCTCACATCATGATAGCACTTTATGGATTAATATGACATTTTATTGAGTGATTCTTGAATCAAGAAATGCATATGGCTTTTGTACAGGCATTTTAAAATAAGCAGTGCATATTCCAAATACAATGTGACCTGGTATCAATTTAGACTAGACCACAGCAATCACCTTACTATTTTACCTCCTAGGTCTCTTGTGACTTACCAGCCACCCTCCATGCTTTTCTCCTGCAGTTCCTGAAACAGTCCAGCATTTACTGCACTTTGTTCTTCTCTCTTCTGGGTGTCCTGTCTTGCTTCCCCTTTTCAATTCAGTGCCCCATTTCCTTAGGCCTTCAGAGCTGAAGGCAACAAATCCCGTTCCACATGTGAGCACAGTGGCTGACCCTTCAGAATATGGAGTTGCTGACTGCCTTCTCTTGCCTGAGTTGTGTTCACATGCTCTTATTCTCCAGTAGCTGGCTTTCCCTTCCTGGGAAATGCACTGTACCAAAGCCAGATGCTATGTTGTATCTCTAAATCAAACCAAATTAATTTCTGGAGCATGAAGCTATGTAAATCTGGTTCAGAATGTAGTCTTTGAATAAATACCACAAAGTCAAATTCTGTGTGAAAAAAACACACCAATTCCACCATTGTATGCTTGGTTCTAAGGCTTTGGTAAGATTTTCAATAAAAGTTCACTGCGTATGTGGGTAACTTTGATTTAAAGTTCTCTATTTGCAAATAAAGATATTTACTTACTGTATCTTTTCTGATTGGAGTATGAATGAATTTTTATGTAATAACAGTAGCATGTTAGATCTCAAAGTGTGTAATAAATTTTTGTTGAAGAAAACTTTTTCAGCTCAAAAATCTGTATTTGTTCTCTCTTGCAGTGTTTCAGTAAAATCATCTGGTTATTAACTTGAAAAGCTTTTTTTTGTTGTTGCTTGAGAACAATATCATAAATTGTCCTTTTGCCTTTTAGGAAGCATAATTCAAACTGTTATGTGGAGTAGGGCTGAATTTCATGAAACTACCCAGTCTGAGAAGTTGTGTCTTGACCTGGAACTTTTACCTAGTAAAGCAGCTCAACAGGATTACCATATGCCAGATGTCATCACTGTCAGAGTACAGATGGGTAAATGGCACCTTTAAATACGTATCTGTAGCTGTATTTGTATACCTATGGATATCTACATAAAGATAGATAAATAAACAAACCTTCTGTAATCTCAATCTGTTACTAAAAGAAACAATATTTCTATCCTGTAACCTTCATTTTAACAGATTCTGAGTCATTCCACGATGTAGCTGTGAAAATTGAAAGACCTACTTTTCGTAAACCATTTCTGGGTGGATTTAAGAACAGAGTAACAGGAGTGGAATTTCATAATGCAGGGTCACAAACGGTACCCAAAAAAAGACCTGAAAAAGGAACTACATTATTTTGTAGAGAAACACAGGTAATGGTCCAACAGTGTCTTTTTAAGATATATTTTATTTTGCCAAACAACAGAATGTTGACACAATTATTTCAAACAGGAATGAGGAAGTAAATAAATCAACAGTAAGTATGCAATTGAATATATTTAATGAATTTATATAATGTGTCTTGAGATTTGGGTTTATAAATAGCTAATTTTTCGTTCTTTATTTCTTGAAATGAGAAAACAATCTATGTATTTTCTGATAATTTGACTTGTATTTTTTTCCTAGACAGTTTTTGAAAGAAATAAATATCAACAAACAACAAGCCCAACATCTACACAGATGACTAAAAGTGGCCTGTATGTGTCTAACAAAAGTGACAAACTAATAACCCCTGGAAAGTACCTAACAGCAGAGGAATACCATAAGCGTCGACTTGAAGCAGTAAGTTCTCATATGTTTGCAACTGCATCTGCAGAGAAAAGTAGCAAAAAGGTTATCTGAATATGTAATGAGTCTTCAGAGTGCTCAAAGAGGGATTTTAGCAGTGAACTTCAGAATATTCACGTTTCCTTATCTTTCTGATATAAGTGTGCGTGTGCACATTTACAGTATTGGTGTTTTTAGCAACATTTGAGACATTACAGTTTCTTAAATATTAATCATTGTGAATTTGCTATTTTCTTTCTTAAGTTAAACTTTCATACATACTGTTAGTTATTACAATAGGTCTGTCCCATTTCCATTCTCTTGATCTCTTTTAGAAGGACCTGAACTCCCTGCCTAATGCCATGTATGACATAATAGCTAGAATATTGGATTAGGATTTATGTGACTGACATTCAACTTCTGGAGTTTATGGCTTTTTTCCCCCTATATTTATTTATTTAAGAGCAGACTATATATGTATGCTATGGCCTTGAGGGTTCTTTTGGTTCAGAGTCTTTTGGTGCACTGAGATGCTCAGCGTAGCCAATTCTGACAACAGATGCTGTATAGTCGCTGTACAGAGAATGTCTCTTTAGGCATTCTGAACTTCTCTTTGTAAACCACCTGTTCAGTCATTGCACACCAATCTTATTACTCCCTGTCATCACATTAGCTTGGACGCTGCTTTGTGAATGCTCTAATTACTAATTTAATTGCTTAAAATAAGCAGTCTGAGGCTTACTGAGTGGATGACAAGTTGGTTTCCCTAAGTGTCTAAGTGGGATCATTGTATTAATATGGTTGACAAGATGCTTTTTAAATCTTGTTAAAATTTTCTATAAGAAATTCTTATTTGGTTAGCATCAGCTGACAGCAATAAGCATCTTGTTGGAATGGAACCCAAGTAGCTAACTGTTTCCCCAGGACTACAAGAAAATTTTACTGTGATCATTAGTGCTACTCACTGAAATCTGTAATGTATCTGTAGGTAACCTATAATGCTGCTCTGAATGTTACCACAGAATGATTTTCTTTATTTTTCACCTCAAAAGCAAACACTTTGCAAATGTATTCCAAAATACTTTCTCCCTTCACAGTGGCTTCTTATAACCAAAACTGGCCTTCAGGTTTTAATACCTTGGATATTAGTTAGTTTTCTGTATGTATTTTTTCACAGTACAAGAAGAACACAGGAGTATTTTTTATTGTTGATATATAACATTCTAAAATTATTTTTTAGAGTGCATCTATGTCAAGGAATAGAGCACAGTGGAGACATCAGCTGGTGTTGATTCAATTTGGTGGATTTGCACAGCACAGTGTAGTTCTGTTCTGAAATATTAACTGGAGACAAGGAAATGTTAGATTAAGATACCTCTGGAGCTGTTTAGCTGTATCAACATGGTTTTGTGTTTGATGGCCTTCTACACTGAATGATGCTTAATAAACTCAAAATGGCATTAAATTAACCTGGCTCAAGTGTTTTTGGTGCAGGTGCTAATTCAGCTGGCAGAAGTTCAGGCCTGTACATTGTCCTCCCTACTGTGATATGTCTAGGCTAGCTCCACAGTCTTTAATAGCAACATTTTTGATGGTGGTTATATATATCTTTTTAAGTTTTGTCATAACAGCAATATTAATTTCATTTTTATTCTTTGTTTACAAATAAAATGTAGTCAATTTAATTTTGTGGCTGTGCTTTTTTTTTTTTTTTTTTTTTGTTATTTTCAATAAGATAATTAAATTTGCAAATATGAATCTAATTTCCTAATTTTGAAAAGGATAAATTGGTACTAAGATGGAGACCTCTGCCTACACAGCTGAAGGGAAAAAATTAAAGCAATACATGGCAGAAGGCAATTTTTAAGGGGAGCTTGGAAAAGAAAAATGACCTCCTCCACTGATTACACTCTTGCATTTAACTAAAAAAGTAAGCAGGCTAGTGTTTAGACTAATAATACATAACTGTTTTTAAAGCATTTCAATTAGCCTAGGTACAAGACAAATCTTAGAAAATGCAGTTAAAATGCAGTTAATGTAGTTAAAATGTAGTTAAAAAAAAACAAAAACAGTTAAGAACAAAATGCTGTGCTGTTTGATTTTCAATTGATGGTTCTGTGATATTTTATCATGTGTAGGTAATAGTATTACAGAAATACTTTCGTCGTTGGCATGCTAGAAATATAGTACAAAACCTGAAGGAAAAAAAGAGATTAAGGCTGGCATGGGAAGCACAACAAGTGTTACAAAGGGAAAAAGAGAAAGAAGACAAACTGAGAATGGAGCAGGAGAGAAAACTGAACCCTAAAACCAAAGAAGACTTCGACCTGCTTTACCACGCTTTAGAATGTAAGTTTTTCTTAAGGGAGCACTCCTAAGTCAGCAAAAAAGAGAGTAGTTTAGAACCAAGTTTTTCTGGTTTTGGTTGATTTCTTTTCCTTTCTGATCAGGACGACCTGATACAGGTCAACAAGAAGAACGAGATTCTTCTATTGTTTTCTTCTAATGATCAAAATACTAAGTTAGTTCTGATGCATTTAAGTCACTGAAAATAATGTCATGAAGAAATTGCAATTAAGATCCATCATTTGCCATTTAATTTTCATAATGGACTAAATTCTATCAAGAGTTTTATGAAAGGTAAATGAGGTTCTTTGTTTCATGCATGTCTTCTTCTGCTGCTATTTCTTCTCTTTCTAGTGTATTTTATTCACAGAGCTGCTGTAACTGCAGACAAAAATTTACAAATATTTACAAATATTTTAAAAATCTTTAAAAAATAAAAATATTAAATCTTAAGGACATTTTTTTAAGTTCCTAAAAGGCATCATGAAATCTTTCTCCTAGCAGAGTGGATGGTGTCTGCAGACAAGCACTTGTAAACTTCCCTGGCAAAATAAGGTGAATACTGCAAATAATTGGCATGAAGTCTTATACAAGAATGATCTCCTAAGTATAACAAAAAATTAACACATGCCCTTTTGGAAAAATGAAAACAACAGAAAGTAATGTGATGGCCTATATATTTGCATTGTCTCTTTGGACACCTCATTTTATCTAAGCTTAAGTGGTTACTTGTGGTTTAACTCTGGCAGTTTTTACATTGCTGTCCCTATAGCAGAACTGACAGAATGGATTCCCTGATTCATTGCAAAGCTACTGAACCTACCTTAAACCATCCTAGCTATTTTTCCTATGGTAAACTGAGCATAAATTTGGCAGTATGTGTTATTCATAGAGCCTAAGCTCATCATTCAAGAAACCCCAAGTTATCCACTTATCTTTTAATTCTGTCACACTTTGTGTGGCATTGAACAAATTGCTTTGTCTAAATGTATAAATGACATAAATATTACTGTTCTTTCTGACAAATGTAAAAATTATTTCCAGTCTTAAGCTTTTAAAGCTTTTAAATTTGGGAAATTATATCTTCCTGGGATTTGTTGTTTTGAATAAGCACACTGTTTGTTGTTGTTGTTGTTTTATATTCTTAGATTTAAAATGTATGGTTACATACATCTCTCTTGCCTAATTTAGTATGGTTGGATTCACAAACAATAAAAAAGTCCAGCTTTGCCTATTGAGGAAATCTGAGAAGCATTTGCCATTTCAAGAGCTGTGAAGGAATTAACTAAACACTGATATTTGAAATGTCTTTTAAACATTTTGTTGGAGATAATTATCTAGTATCAATCATATTCTTTGGTCTTTGTTTACCACTGTTGACTCATTGCTTCTCTGGAGACTTGCAGTCATGCTCTTTAATATAATAGAGCTTAGTGGTTCTAGGAAGTCTTTTTTTTCCTACCTGCATCTGAAACTACTTTTACATTCTTACAGTGTCAACAGTCTACACAAGCTAAATCATTGTGACAGTAATAGAATGAGGTTATTGTCCTCTACAGATCTGTGAAGGTCATTGCTGCTGATCACAACATAGGGGTACTATTACAACGTCAGCCAGGAGAAGCAATTCTTTTTGGTACAAAAACTTACCTGTTGGCTGTATGGTGCAAATGAGATGTATCTAAATATTCTGTGTTTCTGCATATAGACACATTCACTATTTATTTGAAAAGTATGAATACTTCATTTGCTTTATAAACACTGGAATAAAAAATGCAAGTAAAATAGGCAACATAGATAGTCTAAGAGGAATGTCTGACCTGATAAAATGTACATGTTGAATTTGTAGATGAGTATGGGTAACATTTTGACAGGCCCTTCATTTTTGCAGGTTTTGCAAAGTTGCTTAGTGTATTTATTAACTCCACCTTTGAAGTTGCTGCCCCCTTCAGGCATACAAAGCCTCATGTGAATTAATTCTGTGAGGAGCTTTTATTTGCTGAAATGGCTTTTTTCAAAAATATATCTTTGGATACTCAGAACTTGTCAGACAGCTGTCACATTAATCCCAAAGCTTGGAAAGCCTTAAGGAAATGAATAAAATATTTTAAAGTATAAAACATAAAGCACTGTAGATAAGGAAGCCACAGGCAGAAAATAAACTTTCTTCCCTTCCCTCCTCCTGCCTTTAATCTTACGTGATACAGGATGTTATAGCCTTTTTTTGAGTAGCTATTCATCACATACTGGATTGTTTTCTTCACGCTGTTTTTCTTTTGCATAACTATTCTGAAACAATAACTTATTGATATTATTCAGGAATGTGGAAGTTTTGGATCTCACAGAACTCCCTGCAAAAATCTTTGGATGTATTTGAAATGGAGCATACCTTTCAAAATAGGCAGGAATTGTTATGATGGATGCAAAGGAAAGCAGTATTATGTAAATGGTGATTTTACTGAGAGATTTCTGTAAGGGCATACAAGCTGGATGTCAGCAATTATAGTCAAGAAATGGGTACTGCAAAATAAGCCATGAGAGATGTGTCTGCATGTTAGTCATTCCACTTGGCTTCTACTTCAAAGTGCAGCAGGTACCTGTGGTTTGCTGATTTGCCCCTGAGTCAGAAGGCCAGATGTTTTTATAGCATCCACTGATTTACTTGCTGCTGTCATCAGCATGTTTGTATATCGCTTCCCTCCATTGGAAGGGTTCTGCTGCAGAAGGGAGAGTAACATAATGATCACCTAATTATATATGTGCATCCATCAGCCTTCTGTGGCAAAAGACGATACCACTCAATATTCACTGTTAAGCCCTGAAGTGCTAAACTTGATTGTCAGTCAGTCTTGTTTGATCTCTACTCATTTCTGCAGGGAGAAGCTGTAGCACCAAATACTATTGGGACCACAGTAAGATTCTGTTCTTAATCTGTTGAGAAGATCACGGTGATCGATGTTTGGTTAAAAAGTTCCTAGTGTTCATCTTGTTTGGAGTAGTTTTTAGATGCAAAATCCTAAAGAAATCACTGCACCACACATTTCCACAGAAGCTAAATTCTCACTGATTTTCCTGGCAGTGTGGTATTGATGTATACTTGCACTCTCAGAACATCTTTATCCTCGGCATTATTTTCTGTGCTGTTTTTATGTCTATTCTGCATAATAATCAATTTGCTAATACAAAAGCTTATTATTATTATTATTACTATAGAAAATATGCTATTTCTTGAATATGAAAGTAGAAATCTCACTGGAAAGCATCTTCTAAAAAACTACCCAGAATATTTGTATCTGTAGCATGGAGGCAGGAGGAGACGGAACGGATTAACAGAACTCTTACTGGAGCTGAAAGAAAGGCAGCACTTTGTGGACTTCTAGAACAAGAGACACAGCTGATTGCTTCCATTGGGAGACACAAGCTAAATGCAGATGAGGACAATCAACAGAAAGCAGTGCTGCACTTTCTGGATAAGGTCAGTGAAATAATTTTAGACTGAATATAAAGAAAGTTCCAGCATACAAGAACAGAGAAGGTATCTGCAAACATTTGCCAGAAGTAACTTTTGCAGCTCTGTGACTGATTATCAAAAGACAAACAGTGCAACATTAAAATTGTGAGATTTACCATAGACACAACCGGTTGTGTATTTAATCTAAACAATTAGCACTGAGTGGATGAATTTTTTATCCTTTAACTGTCCCGCATCAAGGATGGAATTCTGACAGCATTTTTAAGATCATTCTGACAGAATTCAGAAAGGCTGATTTGAGGTTATGAAACACAAGAACATTGCAAATCATTCTGTATTTTGCATTCTGTGAATTAGAATGCTAGAATAATTCATGCATGAAACTGTGATCTGTCTTAATCCGTTTTTGAATCTTTAGAAACCTGCCTATAAGCTCTTTCAAAAACATTCTGTTTCTCTAAATGAAACTAATGACTAGGTGACCTTCCCTCTGCTATCTTCATTCATTGCTTTTTAGAATGAAATGTTTGCTATTGCAGTTAAATGCAAAATTTAAGCACATATTTAGTATTTATAAAATTATAAAAGATTATGTGGAGATAAAAAAAAAGATTATAAAATCTTAAATCCCACAGAATTAATCATGTGATTTTTTTTTTGTTTGTTTTTCTTCCCTCAAAAAAGTTATCCTTCAGAAATTAGATTTATTGTTCATTTCTCCATTTAGGATAGGCCTTTGTTCCTAAGTCATCATTTCTGTTGGACTTGAAAGGAAGTATTTATTCATTGTTCATGTATTTATTCATTGGATGTATTTATAGTATTTATTCATTGGATGAAAAAGCCAGGAGAGCTTTAATTGAATCTTATTGATCTCAGTGATTAATTGACTGCTCTTAGATGAGCAACAAATTTTACATGAGAATTTATTTTTGTATAATCTTGAGGATAAAACTTACTAAAAAAAATAAATTCAATTCATTCAGTTCATTCCAACAACAGTTTAGAGTGACATTAGATTCAATGGCTCTTTAATATAAAACACGAGATGTTTTTTTTAAGTTAAAACAATATCTCAGCAATCCAGCCCTTAAGAAGAAAGGTTTTTGGTGTCTACTTTCATAGTTGTGAAATAACTATGAAAAAATATACTGCAGCAGCAAGAGTTTTAAAATATCGAAGTTCATTGTTTTTTTTCAACTTTGACTACTTAGTTTTCAAAAAAGTGACTCTTTGGTACAAAGGAAATTTCCTTGTTTTTGTTATTGATGAATGGGAACAGGTTCACAAAAACTGATTTGGTAAAAATATATGATCTTTCTTCATTATGAATATAAATTACTTATCTGAAGTATTGGTGGAACTGTTATGAGGTTTATTGCTGTGATGTGTTTGAATTCTCTATTATTGCTTTCAGGAGTGAAAAATGCTAGGAAACTAAATATTTAGAAATGATACCAAAATTATAAATCATTTCGTTGTCAAATATTTGCTTCTACTATTTGATATTCTTCTGTCATCTCAGAAAAAGAAGCCTGGAACAGTTTAAAGTACATATATTTCTTAACTTGGAATTCTTCTGAAACAAGGCAGTATTGTTCGTAATGATGAGACTCCTGTTTTGTTTTCAATAGAAAGCTGTTTACTTTCTTTGTTTAAAATTTATACAATATTCAGTTTTGATAAAGAAAAGAGGAAAAAATGACAGAATTTACAGATATCATATCTTGAGTTGAATAATTTAAATGTGGTCATAATATAATGGCCTGTGTTACAGACTGTATTCAGTGTAGAACAGTGAGGCTGCTAGCTTATATATGGCTTGTGCCAACTGATGAGAAAACCCAGCTTTAATAGCTATTTCCTAGGCAAAGTTGTGCTCATTGACTCATTGTGCTCATATTGTAAGCAAATGACCCTTCTGTCTTAGAAAGAGTGGTTTCATTAAGAGGACCAAATGAAGGTAATGAATTCAAGTACGCCTTGGAAAACAGGGATTGTTGCTTACCTGCTGTGTGAGAAAGCTGCAGCACGATACTGCTCCGTAACTGTTGGGTGGTGGTGTTTCCTTGTTTTCTTTTTTCCTTTTTTTTTTTAAAGCATTTCTGTTAGTGTGCATTGTTAATGTAGGAAAGTAATGAAAATATGCTGGACTGCTCCTTTTTTAAGACAGAAAATGACTCCTTTCTAATTTTGCTTAAGTTCAAAGATTTAATTAAGGAGCTAAGGGTTTTATTTTTCACTAGTACCTGTTCTGCTGTTGTGTCCTGTAAACAGTTTTTGCTCTGGATTGTTACTATTGATAAACAGCAGTTTAATTGTAGTTCCATCTCCACTGACAACATAATCAAATGTTATTCAGTATTGGACTCCCTTTTCAGTTGCTTTGTTTTCCTTTTGCTTACGTATTTTTATAATTTGGTAATTTATTTTAAAAAGAGAAAAACCCTATGTAGACTGTTCATATATGTTCAATCTAATATCCTTGCTGTTTTTATGACATCACCACAGAAGGCCTGTATATTTGATCAGAATAATGATCACAGAGGTACTGGGGCGTTCTCCACAGAACTACTCAAGTATCTGAAGGCTCCATGTTGTGTTTCTGCATCTAACTTCCACTAAAATCAAAAAGTGAAGTTCACAGATGTTTGTGAATACTCAAGTTTCAAATACAGTGCAAGTGAATAATTAACGCAGAGAATGAAGTTCAAAGTAACTGTCCCACTATATGATTAAGGACAGGGAATGGAATTGGGCAGTGATGGGGAGAGGGTTTTGAATGCTGTATTTCTATTGGATTTAGATATCTACCTCCCTGGGTAAGTAGCCCTCAGAGCCAGTCCTGTAGAAAGAGGATGATGTTTGGACTTTTCAAACTGAGTAGTGCAACCAGAACCATGTAAGTTCTCACAGTCTTTAGCAGATAAACACGTGCAAAGAGAATTGAAGTAGTAAGCATATGTTACGTAGTTAAGTTAGCGAGCAGGGAGCTAGCCCAAGAATGCAAAAAGCTGTGAAGTCGTCTTGTAATTTAGTTTACCAAAGTCTATGCCTTCTACAGTTGTCTGTGCAGCTAGCATAAATAGAGCAGTTCCCTGGAGATGTTCTGTACTGCAGCTGACTTTGAGGGCTTAAATTTGCAATCTTTACAGAATCAACAGTCCCATTGATCTTACTGATACTTCAGAGGGATTTATGACTGCAAGATGAAACACTGAGCAAATGTATTCTAACACCACCATCGGTAAATTTGTTCTAAAGGAGTAGAGCGTGTCCTTGCAGGAGAGTATTATGTACTATTAATTTACTCTGAGATTTCATGACCTGCAATTTTAAACAAAGTGCACAATTGAATGCTTGCTCTGGTGGAAAAGGTACTGTAAATTATTGGCAATAGAATTAGATTTTGGTGTTAGTTAAGCTTTAAAGTCATGTCCCAGTTTGAAACTTTATGTAACAATACACATGTTCAGCTGGTTATAGTAGCTCAGTCGTACAAATTGTTTCTGAAGTGTGCACAACCTAAGAGATGGAAAGCATGTGATGGAAAAATCACTGAAATGGATACACAATACACACTCCGTGCCAGAGAACTACTTGAAATCTACCGCAGTGTTAGCATGAACGACATCCCGAAAGACGAGAGAAGAGATGTGCTGCTAACACTCAGAGGTACAGTGAAGGTATGTTTCTATTTTTCTATTTATGTTTGGATTTAAGCTGCACTTTCAAAAGACGTGATCATTTATGATTCTATGATTTAATTGTGTTGATACATAAACAATGCTTCTTCTGGCAAATAGGTGCCAGGGAAATCAGTTGGCAGCAAGAGAAAGCCTAGTCTACCAACTGGCGTGACAGAATGATTTGTATTCCACATGTACTTAAAATCCATGTTGCACTTTGTGACGTACGCATTTTTCTTCAAGATGCATTAGGATTTTAACCCCATGGCTTTAGTCTTTGTGCGTGTGTATTAATACATAATACAAATTTAGTACAAAGTTCAGCTTAATATTTGTAACAAACTGATGCAAACCTTGACAGAAATGTAAATGGCTGTTACTGTACTTCTGTTTTTCTCAATTGCTTGACCTATCTGCTTAGAAACTTGTCATCTTGGGAGGTTGGTCTCGATGCTCTCTAGAGGACCCTTCCAACCCCTGCAATTCTGTGATTCTGTGATCTCTGTGGGTTTGTTGCCACTTTCTATGGCTGGCGAATACTGATATTCTTTTCTCTTTTGCTTCACATCCCCACTAGATGCTGCCACTATTCCCAGTGGAATAAAAACTTGTCTGCCTTTCTTTTAATCTCTTTCTTTCTCTCCTTTTTTTCGTATTAATGTACAAAAAGAATACCAAGGTAAGTTTTCAAATAGTTGTGAGATGACAGCATTAACAGTGACGTAGAATAGAATGCTGTTTCCTGGTTCTTACTGAATGAAACTAATGTCTTGCTCTTGGTTTTGATAACAGCAGAATTTGATTAAAAGTCAATATGATGTTGGGAGCATTGCTAATTTATGAATTTCTGTTCATCTTAATACAATTCAATACTGTGTAGTAAACAAATTCTGGAATTTCTGCAGATTAGCACTCGTTTCAGGTGAAGAAACATTGACCTAAGTCATTTGATTTCTATCTCTGGAGTATCTCTAAGTATTTGGAGCACTGAAGGCACTAATTACAAGCATGGTTGTAAGTCCCTTAGGCCTTTTGTATCATTTTTTTTTTCCTTCCTTTCCCCCTTTCCTTTCTACCAGTGTATATACATTTCCTATCACAGAACCAAAGGAAGCTTCTTATTGAGATGCTTCTTCATGCTTTTAGAGGAACAGAACAGAACAGTTTTCAGCCTCGTTTTAGAGGCATTATTTAGTGCCTCCAGATTTACAGTTCTTCCTAGCTTCAGTATATATGCAGGCTCGTTGAAGCAAAATCTGTATGTATTCATGGTTTTTTGGTTTGTTTGTTTTTTGTTTTTTTAACTTCTTACATTAGTGTGCTTGGAGGTTATTTTCCTATTGCCACTAAGGGTTCTTTTATTGTGAACATACAGAGCTGTGACTGATGAATTACACAGAAGCTATAATTTGCTTTCATGCCATTGTTAAGAGTTATGTTGTTTGTTTCTTTCTAATAATAAAGTTTTCTTTTCCTTTTTAATTCTGTTTTCCTTCAGGAACACAAATGTAAATTAACACAGGAAATAGTGGAATTAATTGACAGGGAAGTTGATCTTATGTCAATAGAAGTAAAAGAATGCAACTTAGAAGGACTGAGGAAAAGAATTTGTACACTATTTCTTCAGTATATTAAAATTCCGAAGTTTAACCCTGAAGTTGCAAGGATACTTAAGGTAGTATTCCTAGACTGCAATCTGACTTAATGGCTATGAAACTAAAGATAGAGAAGAGGAATTGAAAATCATGAATGTTCTTTTACTTCCTATAACCTTTTGCTGTAGAATTGCTGTGAGTATTCCTCAAGAAGTCAAAATATATACAATAAATATCACACGAATAAACTTATACAGTCATTTAGGAGGCATAGGCATGTTTTTAACAATTTGTCAGGTAGCAGGGAGTAGAGAGCAAGCCAAGAGCTCCAGGTATGAACTGAAAAATTTGAGCATTTTAAGTGGCCTTACATATCTTAAAAATGTTAACAATAAATTATAATAGCAAGTGGGGAACCAGTAGAGAGATTTGAAAGCGTTTTTTTTCTTCCACTGTAAGAAGGACAGTTCCCATGAGTCCAGAAAGGAAGAATATTTACTTTCTGAAAAGCAGAAACAGAAAGGAAGTAAAAATAGTGGTAGACACCTGTTTTAAGTCTTCTGTTAAAGAAATAAAATAAAAAACCTTTTAAGTATTTTGAAATAAATCATTGGCTTTTAAATATTATTTCCTTAAACATACATAAAATCTATTCCTTACAGAATTTGGGTGGTTCACAAGTAACAGATATGTTGTGAGAAAATAACTTCTTTCTTTCATTTCATCTTTTAGGTTCCACCAGATCCCTTAAAGCTTTATAAAAACGTTCACTTCTGTCGCAGTTGTGAAAATTACTTACCAGCTACTGAGTTTCCTATTCCTGCTAATTCCCGCACCGTTGGCAGATGTCACTTCTGTTGCAAGCTTGATAATGAGGCTCGGCAACGAGAATCATTTCTGAAGTACAGACTGATTCTAGAAAGTCTCAGAAAGTCTGAAGCTGATTATAAGGACGATGCTAGAATTGTTTTCTTAGTTCAGGTAATGTCTACAAGAGCACTGCTAATAATGGAAACTGGCTGCTTTGATTATAATTTTTGTTTTGTGGATGTAACTGTCAGGAAGAGAAATAGGCTAGAAGCTATGAAAACTTCTTTCTGTGATGTTCAGTAGTATTAAGAGAAAGCACTTAAGCTCCTTAAGTATACCTGTACTTTCGAAAGTGGTTGCAAATAATACATTAAAAGAAACGGGATGTCCAGCTAACAGAATCAGATGATCCAAATTCTCTGGTACTGCCCTGGCCATCCTGTTGCTTAAAGATATTGGCATAATCTCAATAATGACTGTCGCTGAGACTCTGTCACTTTTTAGCCAAATTAATTTCAAGTTCTTCTGTTTCAAGCTATAAATATCTAAACAGATCTGTATATTCAGCTACTGATTTCCTTATTTTTTTCTCTAACATTTATTTAAATTGTTTCATTTTTTTCTGAGCTATTTGCTTTTTTATTCATCTCCCAACAACTGTCTGTCCTCTACCTCTATTCAGAAAACAGCTGTGGTTCATCCAGAAATGACTGTCACAACCAGAAGTCTTGCAGCAGCTATGAATTTATTCATTGCCCAGCTCAGTGCCAAAATAGGCTCTGATTGTGTTGTTCGTGGATAGATGTAAGATTTTTGTGACAAAAGATTTTTCTTGCATGCTGATTCTAACCATACTTGGGCTGAACACCATGAGTGCTACTAAGGCAAAAAAGCAGCTGATGTGTGTTATGGAAGCTCCACTAAATTCAGTTTACTGTAGCTAAAGACCTGCTTTTTGCTATCAAAATGAACTTGTTCAGCAATGTGTCAAGTCCTGAGGCTGATGGGAGTGTTCCTTTGAACTAATGAATATGATGAACTCGTTTATCCATTCTTTGTCTTCACTCATTTCCCAGTCTCCATCGCTAAGTAATGATGCTTGCTCTCAACTTGTCTGATGGTAGTGGTTGAATGACTTTTCTGTTTCTTTGTGAGAGTAGAACAAGCTACCAGAGGGGAGGGACAGAGTGTCATGTGATATGAGTTGTGAATTTTCACAGCAAAATGCATATCTACTTTAACAAAGTGCAGAAGTTGTCTCTTAAATCAGACTTTTCTTCATAACCAGAAAAGTTTTCACACAGAACAGGCTTTCGTCTAATTTACAGGCAGGAAAGGAAAATGACAAATTAGTTTGTGGGTCTGTTTTAGATGGTACTTCATATATTTTAATGTAAGTTTTAGCCAATTATTTGAGATTCACAGCTTAGGACCAAAAAAAAAAAAAAAAAAAAAGTGCATGCCAGTGTACTTTCAAATGTCTGGCTTCTTAAAAGAAGACACAGTTATTCAAAATGTTATTCAAAATGTGGTGAAAAGGAGGAAATACTAAAAATATACACCAATTAATGAAAGCTAATAAAGGAGGACCAGATTTAAGACCAGATGTAGCAGCAGTCTTATGTTCTTGGAACCAGTAAGCATATAGTTGTTATAATGGATGTTCTAAGCCCATCTTTTATCATACATTTTTTTCCTGGCAACAATTTAGGTGAGTTCCTGGATTTTGGAAGCAAGGTAGTTGAGAATATGTGAGACTTCATTTCACTAAAGCATTGTGTTGGTATACTTCCATCCATATTTTGCCAGGGTTCTAATAAGTAAGATGGAAACACTAATTTAAGTAAGTAATGATTTCTCCTTAGAGGAATGAGCCTTTTTAAATGGCTTGCTGGAGGAAAACCTGTTTAAATTCTGCTGAATACAGGCTCCTGTAGAGAACGATCTTCTAATAACATTTCCATGACTGAGACAGAGAAGAATCAACGTAGGGTGACTGAAAAACTCACCAAGTTCAGTGGCAACTGCTCGCCTAATTTTTTTTGTTATGTATGATTTTTTTTTTAATCAAGAATTTGTAGTTATTTCAGATGGCTAATAAAAATTAAACAAATCAAGATCAATATAAATTAACTTGAAAAGTATACCTAAAGATCTTTCTGTACCAGAGAACTTTTACACACAGCCCTTCCATTATTTTTTGTTAATGTTGTAGCATAACTACCTGATCTTTGGTGACCACATCTGGTAAAATGAATAACAGTGTCATGAACACACTTAGTGTGCCAATAAGAGACTGAGAGCAAAAAAGCTGAGTGGGCCGTGATTTAAGGTCTGTAACAGGGAGAACTTTTCATTGTTGTAATTTTCCACATTTTTCAGGCCTGATTATTCTGATTATATGTAAACTTTAAGTAATTTAGTAGTATAATAACTTATTTATTCAATAACAGTAATTCTGAACTCTTGAATGGGGGATAACAGGGATGGATTATTATCATCAGCCAAAGAAGTCTGAACAGGTTAAAGCATGCTACAAGAGAAAGAAAATGAGATCTAAGAAGCTTTATAAGAGCATTTAAGCAATTAGGATGTCAAAGGGAGATAAGAAATTTCCACTGGCAGAAATAATCCAAGTAAGAATGCAGCATTTTAGCTATGACGTAAGAAAAATTTAGTTAATAGTTCCATGCCCTGCTTAAGGAAGATGCAAGTCTAGATATTCTTCAACCAAGTGATTGTGTGACATGCATAGAAGTATTTTACTCCAAAGACTGGACTCTTAAATGGTTACCATTTTTGCTGTAGAATGAAATACGTTTCACCTTTCTTGCTCTTGTTTTCCATTTCAGCAGCAGCATCTGCAGTACATGATTGAGAACATATGGGGCTGTCAGTCAGCTCTTAGTTCTTGCAATGACCTCTATGATTTGGTTATGGTCAGATGGGATAAGCAGCAAGAGTGGTCTCCATGGAACACTATTCTCCTCACTAAAGATGAAGCTGATGCACATCTTAAGCTGCATAACCTTCAAGAGGTAATATCTGATGGCTTATATTTTTCCAGTAACTCTACTGTTCTAGTAGTATCCTGTGAGTAATGATGTTTGGCCAAAGACTTTGCACTCATTCATGTTTAAATTGTCCCAGTGTAACTATTGATGTAGCATGGACTTCAGATGGTACTCGTTTTGGAAATGTTGAGATTATCTGAGAGCTAAATTGACAAAGGAAATAAATGACTCTCTGAAAGAAGGTTTTGTTTTGGGAACAAAATACAGTGGGGAACTCAAAATGTAAAGGGAATTTAACAATCCATATTTGTTCTGTGCATGCCCAGCTTTTGTTTTCAAGCAGACACATTCTTACATGAGTATTACCTTTAAAAGTTAGAATCAGTTTAATGATGGAAATTCCTATATTAAGTCCTCTGTCTCACTTCCAGTCAACAGTGCTCTCCAGGCGGTCTGAATCTAATAATACACCTTTGCATCCATAAATCTATCTTCCCGGCATGATGGCAGGCAAATGTTCTGTTTGTGCATTTTCCTGGTTTAACTTCTTAAGGCTGGATTGTCATTGTCAGATTTTTTAATTTGATTAAGTCCAAAGCTTAGATTTGACATTTTAATATGAACGATAAATACTAGTAAAAAATATTTCATTACTTTTACACAATAGAAATAGAAATATTTTCTGATTTGGACTTATACTTTCTCTGTAACTGAATTTTTGGACTCTATCATAGAATCACAGAATCTCCAGGGTTGGAAAAGACCCACAGGATCACCCAGTCCAACCATCCACCTATCACCAATAGTTCTCACTAAACCATACCCCTCAACACAACATCCAAACGTTCCTTAACACCTCCAGGATTGGTGACTCCACCACCTCCCTGGGCAGCCCATTCCAGTGCCTGACCACTCTTTCAGAGAAGCAGTATTTCCTAACGCCCAGCCTGAATGTCCCCTGGCACAGCTTGAAGCCAATTACAGACTCTTGAAAAGAACCATTAATTTTCCTATTCCAAATGCTTTCATTCTAAGTTGGAAATGAAAATTTTTGAACTGTTCAGTCTTCTGTATGACTGGTAATGAGCAGCGGGATAACAGGGAAAGGCCTCCACATCTGCTTTAGTGGAGGTGGGAGGCCAGAAGAGCAGCAGATAAGGTATATAATCTATCTTAAAGCTGCATGTTATTTTGAGTTATCTCGTGATGCAGAAATGGAAGTGGGCCAGCGAGGAGCTGCTTTGCTTCAGCGGTAATGGCCAAAGCTTTGTTTCAAATAATGTTTGTGAAATAAGAGAAAATGAGGCAAAGCTAAAATGCCGTAAGTTGAATCATTGTTTGTCATTCTTTGAAACAAAGAAAGTGGCCTCTTAAGCACTTTATTTAGTAGTGATTCTACTTCATAACTATGGCTAAAGAGATAGCAAAAAAAAATTTTTTTCAACGAAATATTCTGGCTTTATACATCATCCTATGTGCTGGTACTGATCATGAGAAATCAGGAAAATACGCTGACTCAAACACAGTGAAGTGCTTGCTGCCATGGTTATTTGTAAGTAACCATTCTGATTCTTACCAAGGAAATTTCACATATTAATTACCTTGCAAGTGCTGATGTTTAACCATTTCCATTTTTGAAATTTCTTACTTGAAAAGAAATAAATGGAACTTACCTCGGCTGGATAAAAAACTGTTTTTAACAGATGATTAAAATTTCACCAGGAGTGGTTAGTGATTTTCACCATAAGGTAGCAGTATAGAACTGTAGAATGTTTTATTTCATTCTGTATTAGATATGAATACATTATATGGTTTACTTCAGTAAAGAGTTGCTATTTCTATTGACTAAAATATAAAGCAAACAAGTATATTGCTGAATATTTTAATTGTATTTAATAGGATTTGGATTTTCTTTCCTTTCAGGCTTATGAAGCATCATTTATTCATGGAATAAAGCATAAGCATATCCGGGCAAAAAAGTACTTTGCTCAGATCCCAGTGATGACATCACTTTTCCACAGGAGTGACAAGCAGGCTAATGCAAGTTAATTTTTAATAGCTATCCTTATTCCTACTCATATGAAAACGTAACTCTTCAGATAACAGGTGTCAAAGAAGTTCACTGAATTATTTACTAATACAATTCCTCTGCTTTTAAAGAAATATGTTGTTTTCCCAACACCTAAACTGCATTTCATAGATCAAAATAAAATTCTGAGTATAAAATAATTTGATCCTTACCAATCCATGTAACTGCATTTCATGCTTTGTAGCCTCATTATTTAAAAGGTAGATAGTTGATGGTGAGCTGTTTACATTCATGAGCCATGACTGTTTGGTTATGTATGCCTGTGTTACTTGGAATATTTTGTTTGCAAACTAATATTTTTGATGAGGTAATTAAGCTAAATCTTTGTTGTTTTTTACTTATAAAAGTAATAATAATTATATGAAATTTATTTCTCTGATTTTAAAACGTTTGGCAGAAAACCCAGCAAAAAACCACCAAATCATAACCTATCAAAAACCAAAATTGATACTCTCTTCCAAAAGAAGCAGTTATGCCTTGGAAACATTGGTGTAAAAAAGTCAGCCATCTTTTTGTGGCTCATCCTGTTGGTCATAATGGAACTGCCAGAACTCAGTTATCGGATCCAAGATCTTGAAGTTATTGTGAATCAGGCTTAACATTTGAAAATACACAGTGCAGACTGTTCAGAACTTGTTTATCTTTTGAGAGGCTTGTGTTATTTAAAGTAAAAGTTAATTGCCTCCCTAAACTTACACAGTTACATTTATGTTTGATTACAGTTAGAGAGGAAAATATTTTATGGTGTACATTCATAGAACCATAGAATGGTTTGAGTTGGAAGGGGCCTTTGAGATCATCTAGTTTCAACCCCCTGCTACAGGCAGGGCCACCTCTCTAGGACCCCTTTGGCCAAGCCTTGAATGCTTCTAGGGAGGGAATATCCACAACCTCACTGCTCAGCCTGTTCCAGTGTCTCACAACCCTCACAGTAAAGAATTTCCTCCTGATATCTGGTCTGAATCTACCCTATTCCACTTTAAAGCCATTTCCCCTCATGCTGTCACTACATGCCCTTATAAAAACAGGTGGAACTGTTGGATCTTTTCTGTTTCAGCCTTCCAGTACTTAAAGTGAGCTTATAAACAGAAAGGCGATTGACTTTTTACATAGGCAGATAGTGATAGGGGAAGGGGGAGCATTTTTAAACTAAAAGAGGAGAGATTTAGATTATGTATTAGGAGGAAATTTTTACTTAGAGATGGTGAGGTGCTGGCACAGGCTGCCCAGAGAAGCTGTGGATGCCCCATCCCTGCAGGTGCTCAAGACCAGGCTAGATGAGGACCTGGGCAGCCTGAGCTGGTGGGTGGCAACTCTGCCCATGGCATGGGAGATGGAAGCAGATGGTCTTTAAGGTGCCTTCCAACTCAAGACATTCTATGATTCTGTGAATTGCTTAGGGCTTTATCCATTTGTACCTTCAAAATGTTCACGGATGGAGAATGAACAACTTCTAGTAGCAATCTGATCTGGTGCCTGACTGTCCTCAGCTTAAAAAAGAAATCGACACTCCTATCCAGTTGAAAGCTGCCTTCTTTCAGTGAAGTCTGCTGTTTCTTTTACTGTGCACACCTGCCTTAATTTTCATAATCTCTTTGTAAATTTCAGAAAGCTTCTATCAGGATTTTCCTAAGCCTGTTGTCTAGGCCTAATAAGTACAGCCTCTCCTTCTACATCAAGTGCTTCTGCCTCCTTTGCTTCTCAGTGGAATGCTGTTGAACTTGTTCCATTTATCATAGTCCTCTTGATTTGAGGGACATGAAATTAGATGCAGAGTTAAGAATTCATTCTTGAAGATCTCTAGATTCTGCATTCAGTTAAGCATTAGCAACCAAGCCTGTTTTAGCCTGCTAAAGAATTGCTCACAAACAGGTTTTTTTGTTTGGTTATGCAAAAGTCCAGTTGACTTTTCTGGGACATGGCTGTCTTGTGATTTTGAACATTCAGAGGAAGAAAAAAATATCACAGAATCATAGAATGATTCTCATAGTTCTCACAGAACTACCTGCATACAGAACATACAGTGAAAACTCATGTCTTCCTTCAAGCTAGTGTCCAAAAATGGCTTTTGAAAGCATAGAAGTTGAGTGTTTTGAAGAATGTGGTATATTGAAAAGAACATTTAAAATTAAAAACATATTAAAATAGCAATTTATTGGTTATCTTGTTGAAACTCTTTGATAAAAGCCAAATGCTGTCACCTCAATTCTAAAATAGAATGACTTTTAAAATCTAATGATTGAAATTATTATACAGAATTTCATGTTACGTGTGTTGCTCTGAGAGTAATTACAAAAAGCACAGTAACACTACATGATAGAACAAATTCTCAGCTATAACATACTGTTTTTCAACATAGTCACTACTATTAGCTATGCATTTTCACCACCACAAGAGCCTGCATGCCATGCTTGTAAAAAAATCTGCTGTCATTGCTGCTGAAATGCACCACCCACTGCCTCACTCTTGGTCTGCACCAATGTTCAGCAAATGCTGAAGATTGTCAGTGGATGCCATTTTTTTTCCACATGGAGGAATTCAAAGGAGTGATACACCTTTGTTTTATATACCATTTATCACACTGCTCCTTTGCTGCCATCCATTGTATGGTAACAAAATATAACAGCATATTGGTGGGAAGGTTCAGTCTCTACTGCCGTACCACCAACATGATGGTGGTACCACCGCCTCTGATGTTGTTGGCCAAGATAATAAAACAGGAGGCATTACTTTTGGAACAACCCTAATAGTCTTTTCTGACTGCTACTTTTGTCATCTTACATGTGTTTTTTATATTACTGAATTTCAAAAAAAAAGATTTTTAGCATGACTTGTTCATAGCATTTATGATTGTATTATGCTTTGAAAAGGCATTAATTTGAAACTTTTCTATAATAGTTACTGCCTTGGTTCGCTTGTTTATATAAGCTACAAAGGATGCTGGACGGGTATGAAGGATGTAAGTTTTCTCTGCATCAGACAGAGGTAAAGAATAGAGATTCCAACTCAGGAGATCAGGATCAGATAGAGACATTCTATTTCTAGGAAGCGTTTTCTGGGAAATCTGCCTGGGTTCATTTACCTTCAATTGTCATTGCATTTCATCAGGAGAAGAAAACTGTTCAGATAAAGGGTCAGATCTGCCAGTTTCTATTAGAACTGAATAAATGCTTTAAAAGCACAGCTGATCATCATTTCTTGAATTTCAGACTTACACAAAAGATGATTTTGGAATCTATTTGTGTAATAGTCCCTGCTTTGGAGCTTAGATTTTTCCTGGATAATGTGAACAAATTATTGTAAAACATCAGTGCCTCTTCAAAGGATAACAGTCTAAGATGAAATTCTGACCTCCTTTTGCTTTGGGAATGTGGCTTATGAAACTATCTTAAATTCTACCTTAAAGGTTGAGTCCACAAGGACTCCAGAAATGGTGGTGAGAAATACTGGCTTTGCCTCAGTTCTTTCCCACCTGTAGATACTAACAAGATTGGCCCGTAGGGCTTGCATTTCTCGTTCTGCACTAGCAAAGGCACCTGGACAATTAACACCTGAAGTTTACTTTGCAGGACTCTGTTGTGAGCAGGACTTTTCAAAAACGAAGGAAAATTTGCCTTCTCACTACCCACTAGAAGCATTTCCAGAAGAAAAAGTTCCAGCCTTCTCCCACCTACAGAAGTGGGTAAGATGTGAGTTTGGCAAAGAACAGGCATTTTTCCTACCCACTCCCAAGAGAAAACACTGCTTTTTTCATGATGTAAATTTCCCTACTTATTTCCCAAAGGAAGAGGAACTCAAAGTAATCATTCTTTCCACCTTCTTGACTCCAAAAGATCTCCCAATTAAGAAAGCATTAATTCCCTTCTTGTATTATAATGTGATTGCAAACACTGATAAAATGGTACTATAGACAAAATATGTGAGAGTAGCAAGCACTTGCTAGCCAGTATTTGGCACAGTATTGTTTCTTACTGAAAATGTATTTTCTAATGGTAATATATACATATATATATAATATATATATATAATATATACATAATCTAAATCTTGATTTATTTAAAGCCTAAATTTGAATAGGCTTACATTCTGAGCTAGGTGAAAAGATTCAGTACCGTCTTAGCTCCCAAACCTATGGCTACAGAATCATATTTGTATATGGAATGACTGGCATTTATTTTTATCACTGGTCTGTACACAATTTTTTTTAGCTAATCTTGCACTGTAAATTGTCCATGTTAAAACAGTAATTCTAGTCTGATTTACAGTCCTAACTTTACCATCATCCCGCAGAGATCTGGCATTCATGATTCTTTATATTCAGCAGTTCTTACATCAGGAATGTTGAATAATGAAGTTGAGAGAATTAGTTTTTTTTTCTAAAGAAAAGCTTTCAGGAACTCTTGGAAGAGGTCCAGAGGAGGGCCACTAAGATGATCAGAGGCTGGAGCACCTATGAAGAAATGCTGAGGGAGCTGGGCTTGTTTAGCTTGGAGAAGAGAAGGCTACAGGGTGACCTCACTGTGGCCTTCCAGTACTTGAAGGGAGAGTATAAGCAGGAGGGGAACAGCTGTTTGCAAGGGTGGATAGTGATAGGACAAGGGGGAGTGGTTTTAAACTGAGACAGGGAAGGCTTAGGTTAGATATTAGAAGGAAGTTTTTCATATAGAGGGTGGTGATGCACTGGAACAGGTTGCCCAAGGAGGCTGTGGATGCCCCATCCCTGCAGGCATTCAAGGCCAGGCTGGATGTGGCTCTGGGCAGCCTGGTCGGCGAGCCTGCACATAGCAGGGGGTTGAAACTGGATGATCACTGAGGTCCTTTTCAACCCAGGCCATTCTATGATTCTATTATAATTAAGCCTACTTCATTTTGTTCATCCCATTTCTTTCCATTATTTTTGAGTTCCGTATTTCCTTGCTGACAGGATAAGAAATACCTGGGATATGAGATATGAATACAGTTGTAAATAAAAGAATACATGAATTCTTAGGAATGGGTATGAGTAGAAGGCAAACACAAGGTATGTCAGTATTGCAGCTTCTTTTAATAAAATTATTTTAGTTGAGATAAATAGTGATGAAATTATTTTTTTCTTTATTGCAGTTTTATAACTATTTCAGAGTATTTTTGCGTTTCAGGTTTTTGGAGTTGTGCTAGATTAAAAAAACCAGCTTCGTGTACAAGCAGTTTTAAACTTGTATTCAAGAACACCTGTGGATTTTCAAGGAGAAACTGGTATGGAAAATGCATGAGTAAATCAAGTGTGCTTTGGTGTATATTGGGATATCCCAATATCAGTCTGTATTGTATTTAGGTTCCTGCTCATGGATAAAAGAACTTCTGCGATCTCGTCTCATTTTAATTAATTCAGAGAAAGGAATCTTTTGAAAAATCTCTCTTTGCAGGAGCTAAGTTTCTTTTTTATCATTCGGCAAGAAATTTTTATTTTTAGAAGTGAAAAAAAAAAAAAAGAGGAGTAAATATATGCAGAAGTATTCAAGAGCCAAATTTTCTGGGGGAGGCAGATGAAGATCCAACTCAATGGGTTCTTCTCATTCCTTTTTTTAGAGCTTTCTTCACTTCAGTCATTCCCAGACTGTGGTTTGTAGGGAGTTATTAAAAAAGAAAATGCAGTTTGTTTTTAGTTGGAAGCTTGATCATAAGTGATGTGGTAATCTTAGAGAAAACAATCTGTTTTTGTTTCAAAAAAATGTAAGATTGTTTCTGTAAGTCAGAATATGGAGAGTATATCCACCACCTGTGCTTCATTTCACTTGTGTGTGATCGGGGAAGAGTGTGCAAATGCCTTCTGAAAGATCCCACTCAAACCAGGAGATGAACAGTTCTTAAGATATCAGCCAGAAACAAGGACATTATGCCTTTATTTTACAATTCTCTCCCCTATACCAGCTTCTCTTTGGTCTTCAACAGTCTACTTTAAATCAACCGTTTCAGGAACAAGAAGCCAGGAATCGCATGACTTGGGCTCTTAATTCATGCTGGCAGCATTTGAGTGTGGACTTGCAAAAGAAGTTTCACATGTCAGCAGTGAAGTTTTGAAACGGTGCAAGTGTTGTGTGGAGGCAGTAGTTGGATTTAATGATCCTCGTGGGTCTCTTACAACTCAGGATTTTCTATGATTCTGTAATTTTTTAGCCCTATGATAACGCAGTGGGAAGGGAAGGGAAGGGAAGGGAAGGGAAGGGAAGGGAAGGGAAGGGAAGGGAAGGGAAGGGAAGGGAAGGGAAGGGAAGGGAAGGGAAGGGAAGGGAAGGGAAGGGAAGGGAAGGGAAGGGAAGGGAAGGGAAGGGAAGGGAAGGGAAGGGAAGGGAAGGGAAAAAAAAGGAAAAAGTATGGAATCTTCAAGTACTAATGAATCATTTGCTCTTGCAGTTAGGTTCCTGTCAGGTTATAACACATTACCTATCTGTGTATTTATTAGCCCTGAATTCCATACATTCAGGTCAGACTGTTAAAGTCTTATTCAGACATGAAGGTCTTGGCAGCATTGATCACGTTATGAACTGTATTAGGAATGGAAGAGAGCCAGTAGAGCCTACTTTTTATTGGCTGTTTGAAAAATAGTGAAATAGGCTGCTTTACTGCTTCACAAAACAAGGATCTCTGCATTGTGAGAGCTGCAGAATGACTGGAGTCAACCTCAGAAGGCGTGGGTTAGTGGGATAAAAACAAGGGTAGGAGCAGTATCATGCTATTTCTCTAGACTGCCAACTGCAGTTGCAGGTCCAGTTTGTTCTGCAAAATGGAAAGATTTGCTATAAATTCTGTGACTCCTTTCTGTGGGCAACCACATTGTGCACTCTTGATTTATATAATGCTGACACTCAATTAATCTTGATTTTGATATGAAGATTAAAGGGAAGAAGCGGACAGAAGGAGTTACAGCTCATGACTTTGTAGGCAGCAGGTGCAGTACAGAATTTGTCAGTGCTGTTCCAGATGGTTATGTGAGAAAACAGGTATCTCACATTCTGGAAGATACCATGGATAAGTCAACCACCTCTAGAACTACAAATAATTTTGCTTACGATGACTGAATGATTCCAATCTATACTAAATTCTCTCGAGGGCGCTCCAATTCTACATCTATCCTCTGTGATCTGATTGTCCTTACAAGTGTGCTCCCTCAGACATGCAGTGAAAAGGGAGATGAAGGATTTATGAAATATTTCTGAGGAGGGGAAAGTGCAATGAAAGGGTTAACTTCAGTGCTATGGAAAGGTACGTATAGACGATCGGCTTCATTACTTTCCTCATTAATATTATTTTTGTAATTGAAATCTGATTTGAGATTTAAATTGAACAAATTGTCTCTTGTCAGACAACAGTGCTGGAATAATACACTGTGAATTAAGGCAAATGGATGAGTCAAGCTATGTGTGCTCTGATTCAGAAATGCATGTCTTCAGCCAGTGTTTACAACCTCCCTTACAATTTTCATTGTGCTTCCTTATTTCTCCCTTGTTCTAACCTGTTTTAGCACAGCTAACTGTTCCTTTTGTGTAACATCCTTACTATTTTGCTGGATGAGGCACCCATGTGCTCACCATGTGCTGCATGACTCCTGCTGCCTCATGCTGTCAGGTGATGGCAGAGACAGCTCAGCAGCACCAGGGATGAAGGAGAACTGCAGAGGGACACACTTCCTGGCAGCAAGAGTACCTCTAGGACAATTTTCTTCATGCATGAAACTTGGGAAATAGTCTAGCCAAGTTCTGCAGCGAGCACAGTTTGCTCCTGACTTTTGCAATTTAGTATTTTTGGGACAGTATCACTACAGAAGGCAGCTGAACAGTCCCATGTTTTTAATGGATACACTCCAAGTGTTCCAAGCATTGCAGCACCTCCACTACAGGGACAGGCTGAAAGAGCTGGGGCTCTTCAGCTTGGAGAAGAGAAAGTTCCAAGAGACCTTATAGCAGACTTCCAGTACCTGAGGGGGCCTACATGAAAGCTGGGAAGGGACTTTTCATAAGGGCACGTAGTGACAGCATGAGGGGAAATGGCTGTAAACTGGAAGAGGGTAGATTTAGATTAGATACCAGGAAGAAATTCTTTACTGTGAAGGTGGTCAGGCACTGGAACAGGTTGCCCAGTGAGGCTGTGGATGCCCCCTCCCTTGAAGCATTCAAGACCAGGCTTTGAGCAACCTGGTCCACAGGGAGGTGTTCCTGCCTATAGCAGGGGTTGGAACTTGGTGATCTTAAGGGTCCTTTCCAACCCAAACCATTCTTATGATTCGATTTTCTCACTCTTTCTTCCTTTGCTGAAACTGCAGCAGAGGTTTGCTGCAGATTTCAAACCTGTCAACACCCGAATGTGTGACACCAGCTCTCAGCACACGTGCAGGAGCTGAGGGGCACGGTAACACACGGCAGGGAGAGAAGTGCTGCAGAATACATTTGCTGCAGCACAGAAAACTTTTCTGTAAACTCCACTCTGAAGTTGAGCAAAGCTGTTAGCAAGGAGCTAGAAAACAAGGCGACAGGGATTCGGACTTCTCGAGCCTGCCGCGAAGCCACGAGGTGTCAGAGCACGAGAGGGGCCAGCGCGCACAGCGCGGCCCAGCGCAGCCGTGACAGCCTCGCGCCGGGGCAGCCCGCGCGCAGCAGACGCCCGCCGCGTGACGGGCGGCCCGGAGCGGCCTCCGAGCAGGAAGTGCTGCGTGCCGGTGCCGCCGCGCGCCCTGCCTCCCCCGGGCAGGCCAGTTCCGCCGGGCGCGGCAGCATGGCCGGGCTCGGGCCCGCCGCGTTGCTGCTGCTGCTGGGCGCGCTGCTGCTGCCCGGCCTGCCCGCGGAGCACGTCCCCGCGCTGCTGTGGTCCACGGGCAGGTAGGAGAGCGAGCGGAGGGACCCTGCCGCTCTGCGTGCGTGCGGCCGTGGGGGAAGCGTTTCTGCGTGACCGCCTGCGGCTGAGAACCGCCGGCAGGGAACCGAGCCGAGGAGCTGAGCCGAGGGAATCAGTTTGCCTCCTGGCACGCTACGTAACGGGACGGTTTGCCCGTTTTTGTCTGTGGTGTTGGTGTTCTGAACCGGGCGGTGGGACCCACGTTACTCAGCTCGCAAGTGGCTGGGCTCTGTTCACCCAGGCACCCCGAGCGCTGCTGCAGCTCTGCTGGCTTAAAGGCGAAGCGCGGGGCAGCGTCGCGGAGGAGCTGGCCAGGAGCTGCGGGCCGGGCTCAATGCTCCGGCTCCTCCACCGTGGTTTTTCTCTTCATCGTTGTTCTCCTTCTTTCTTTTCCTTTCTTTCTTTCTTTTCTTTCTTTCTTTCTTTTTTTTTTTAATTTTAAATACAGTTCTTTTTTTTTAATAAGAAGAACTTCTCTGTGCATAGGTTTCACATATTAGGAATAACTGAGTGTTATCTAATTTGCAGACCCTCCAATGGAGAGCTCCTGCGCTCTGCACAACGTGTGTTATACCAGTTCAGCAGCAGGCTTTCTCACAGCTGGGTTCTTACTCACTTCTCTAATATGCACAGTCAGAATTTGGCACACTCCAGCCAGGGGTTGGAGCAAGAAGGGAATCCATCAATGGTTTATTGGTGATAAGCGCCCTTTCAGCTGCTAGGGCCGCGCTCACTGCCTTTCAGGAGACTTTGAGCTGATGAAGGTGTTGAAGCGTGGTGATGTATCTAAGTGCCACCAGGCAGACGGGCTGAATGCTGCCGTCATTCATCTCAGCGTACATCTCATGTCTTTGGGCAAGATTACTGAAATTAAGGTCTCAGAGCTAAATCCTGCTGTCTTGTTGTGGTTTTCTTGCTGCCGTTGTTTTCTAGTTCTTAATGCAGTAGTTTTAAGACAGCAAAAAGAGAAATCTTATGACTATTAGCGGTTGTGCTGTTTAAGTTCTTCAGGGAATTCTTTTTCATGCATAGTGCCCTACAGACAAGCATGATACTCTTGTTTTTTCATGCTGAGAGACACTGATAAATTGCATTTGAAGACATATAGGGAGGAGGTGCTTGTTGGGTTTCTTTTATATGTGTCCTGGGCATTGTATTCTTTTCTCAGCGGTAATGAATACCAACTTTGATGTATGTCTGCCCATCTCTTAAAAGTTTCCAGAGTGTTCTTAAGCAGTTCCTCTGGCCAACGGCAGCCACAGCATACAAGAACCCAAAAACATTACCTTTTCAGTGAGTTTAATTAGGTAACTGACCTGTCCCATACCCCACATTCTCAAAAGAAATAAACAGATATTTCCATGTTAAGGTCTTTTGTATTCAAAATACTTAATTTGTTCACCTTGATATAACTGAGTAACGCGAGCTACCTCTATATTTAAAAACAAAGTAAGTGTTGAAGTTGTTCTTAGGATAAAAGTGATCTTGAGAGTTTGAGAAAAGACCAGTGCTGCCTTTGGCCTAGTTTATATAAATAATACGTGTGTTGTCAGTATAAGCAGGGATATAATAAGAGTATAACCAGTATAAGCGTAACAGGGAGATTGTAAAACAAACTTCCCACCAAGATGCAATTAGGAACTTGCTCTACTGCGGATTGTTCAGGTCTATACAAATACAGAGCAAGAAAATCAGGATGGTGGACTGTTTAAACCAGTTTTGTATTTCCATCAATAGAAGAAGTGTTCCTCCTCCTATGACCTTTGTGTTTTAAAAGGGGAAATTTTTGTGAGGGAAAAAATTTTTCTTGTGAAATCCTCTGAAGCTACAGGAAAGGAGATTTAGGTTAGTTTATAAAATAAAGAGACAGCAGCAGGAACTTCTGTTTGCACCTCGGTGTTTTGTGGCAATGTGTGGTTTTCAGTGGGTGTTCTACAGCCCCCTGCAATGTGGGAGCTATTGTTGAGAGTTTCAGGAGAGGTGACTGTGTAGAAGTACAGTAATTATCAGTGGATTTCTTTTCACTTTGTAAAAAAACACCTCCAATTTAAAACTTCGGTTTCATTCGTTGCCAGACAGGAGTTGAGATGCACCCATCTGTTCCATCACCATCTCCTGGGTTAACTGTCAGGATACCATATTGAATCCTTGAGGGATAATACAGTGTTTGTAAAATGGTATCTTTGAAGAGCTGCATTAGGAGAATGTGACGTTTTAAAATCTCTCATGTGTTATTGTACTGTGATCATGCTACTCAAGGTTAATATTAGATAACAGATGCAGAGGTTTTTTTGTTTGTTTTTTTTTTGTACCAAACAGCAATCTTCCCCCATTGCACCCAGGAAGATGAAGGGAATAAGACAGTAGGTCACAGTGTCCTGCTTTTCACAAAGAGATACCAAATTATCAGTGGATATTTTCCGAAATAACTTTGCCCTGGGAAAATTAGCGTTATCTTAAATCAGACTTCAAGTTGAAGCCGTTAATGCTGCTGCTTTCCAGAGCAGGAGGGATGGGGGGAGGTTCCTCTTACATGTGATTCAGAACGGAAACATGATTTAGCCATTTTGTAACAATATTCAAAAGAATTTCTTTCTCTCCACAGATTAGAGAGAGCCTGAGGAAACAAACTCATTAAAAGTAGCTTCTGTGATTGCCCTTCATGTGTCTCTTTTAGACTGTTTTTTGCTTGTAGTCACTGAGAATTTATTACTACCTTCATTTATGCTGTGCTGTGAATCTTTTTCTGGTGAATCCAGATTACAAGTGATTTTGAGAAAGTGTTAGTGCCAAATGGGACATATGCCATGCTTCCTAAAGCTGTAAGGAATTTACTGAAAAATCTTGCTGGGAGGAGGTGTAGTTTGGAAAGGAGACGTGAAAACAGAGAATGATTTCAGCTGTAAGTTTTCTGGACTTCTCTGCAGATGCTCTGAGCCTGTTTGTTTGCTTGAGGAGCCCTTTGGATTAATTTTTGCAGTCACCAGTTGTCACTGTACTGGTGCTGCTAGGAGTGGTGAGCTTTTTGTATAGAAAACCATTTCCAGAATTTTATTAATGAGCTTACTGGCTTCTTCTGTGCAGGGGAAAACGTTATTTCTTATGTGGTGATCTAATGTGGTCATAGTGACAGGAGAAACTTGTAGGCAGGAGTTCAGAATACAGCTGCTGAGTAAGTGTGTACTGCTGACAACAGGCCTGAGTGAGGAAGCCCTGCTTGTTTACTGTCTGTCCTCTCGAAGGTCCAGATAGAAGAATTCTTGAAATCTTTGCTCCCCCTTCTACCTAGCAGGAAGACAGATCAGAAAATGTATCCCAGCTTGTTAGTAGTCTGCATGCTTTGACTTCTTTTTCTGCCCAAGTAGTTAAGAGCAAGAAGGAAGCTCCAAAGTGTAGTTCTGGAGGAAGTAAAGCGTAGCTACCTCCTTTGTTTACCACACTGTCTGGCTAGAGTGCAGCTGAGCATTGAGCTTCTGCATTTCTAGCCCGAGGAGAGCGCGAGCATTAGCAGAGGTCCCCGTGGCTGAGGCATGACTGTACTGCAGGAGGCAGGGCCTGCTGGGGCTGCAGACAGCTGTGCTGCTCTGGGCATCACATTTTGTGTGAGCCATCAATTAATAGCAGCAATCGATACGTGTGTTGGCCCGCTGCCTACCTCATCCTCTGCCATCCCTCACTCAGACACTGCTAGAGGTGAAGAGTTCAAAGGAATAGTTGGGTTCATTGCAGGAAGTAATGCACACCTTCAGCATATCCACCAAGTGGGCCCATATCTCCGTTTCATTCTGCACTTGACGGTAAGCAGCCAGCAAAACACATCTGACATTTCCCATCTGACCCGTGGTGAGAGTTCTGTTGCACCACAGTATGGGCTCCTTAGGTGAGGCACACCGAAGCACCTGGCAGGATAGTGAAGAGAAGCAAAATAAGCGTATCATATGGGGAATAGGAGGGTTAGGCAAACACTGCATTATAATAGAATTATTGGCCAGCTGATGGAGATTTATTTTTCTAATGATGCCACCGGAGCTCTTAAAGTTGATGTCTGAAAGCTAAAAGGTCTCACAAAAGGTGCTTTTCCAGGTTATGTAGCCAGCAAGGGCTGCTCTAAGGAACAAGGAAGCCTTAGAAGCAAAGAATGTTTTAAAACAGGATCATTAAATTTCGGAGGGTTTTAAGACAAAAGCCTTTGCTGTTGTGCTGCTGCAAATGACTTAGTTTTGTTTCATGTTCTCTCTGTTACTTTTTTTACTTAATTGCAAATCCAGAGGGTTCTCAAAGTCTTCAAGTTTTTTTATGCTAGGCATGTAAAAGATCAGTTATCTGATTTGCAAAAATAAGTATAACAAGGTATTCACTATAATTTCCTTTCATACAAACCATTCTTTCACATTTCCCATTGAATCTATTTTTTTTTCCTTCAGTATTACTAGTATTTCAGTGTGGCCACGCACTCCCTTTAATGTCACTCTAAAACGTCGCTCAGTTATTGAATTCAGAATCTTCAAGAGTTTTTCTTTTTTCTTCAAATACTTTATTCTTAAAGTTTGTGTTTAAATCTCTGACATCCTGAGGTCAGCTTTCTTGAGAAGTTGACATGTCTATTGCAGTTTCTAAGCTCATGGTCTTCAGAAATACAAATTAATGTGGATTGCCAAGCACAAATGAACATAGAAATGAAGGAGCTGAGGAAAACTAAGAAAATGTTGAATGGCAGTTTCTGTTGAACAAGAAGAAATTTCCTTCCTACATAGCAAGTTTTACATCTAAAGCTGAAAAACAGGCAAGAGGCATTCTAGAATCCAGTTTGAACACCTGCAGCACCTTGTCTTGGAAAAGTCCCCCAGAAATAGTTTGGGCTTTAGTACTTTCCCAAATCTGAAGAGAGTTAGATATCTTCTGCTGCACAATTATGTCTTTTTTATCTCTGCTGTAGGTGCGGTTGGTGGCTTTTGATTCCCTCCCTGCGGTCTTCATTCGAACCATCAGCAAGCCTTGAAGTGCAATATGGGTTTTCCCTATCTGAGAAATGACATAGAATGCCCCTCTATGTTCATTGCCCCCACTCTGCCTCCATCTCTAGATGAAAGCAGAAAACATGATGAAAACAAAGATTGTTTTCATTCATAAACGATCCGAAAGGGTCATTTTGGAGTCTCTTTTGGGTTAGAAAATACCGTCAATTCGTCATGTCAATTCACTAAGTTGTGACCATCGTAATAGCTGATGTTATGTTCTGTTTGCAAATAGCTCCATTCAGAGGGACCAATGTACCAGATTTTCAGGCCTTAGCAAATCATATGTGCTTGTGCAAGAGGGGAGCTAAAGCTTCTCGGTCTGAGTTTTCTGCAGCACAACGATGCTGCCTTGGTCAAGTCACCTGGGACAACATTTTTCGTATTAAATTTTATCCCTGTACACCCAGAGTGCGTACTGCTGAAATCCCAGTCAGGTACTGAAAGAATAATGCCAGCTCCAGTTTTGCCCATAACTGCTCTTTTTTTTTTGTAATAAAACTAAGTGGCCAGCTTATTTCTCTGTCCAGTCCTCCTGAAGACAGATTAGCAAAAGATCTGTAGGCTTTTCTCAGTATCATTTGCCATTCTGTTCACAAGAGCTCCTGCTTCTGGGAGGGTGTTTTACTCTGAGCTGCCTCTCCAGAGATGGTTGTTTTCCATGAAAGCCTTACGAGAGAGGCATATTTTGAATGATAATCATTAACTTAATAGAAGGTTTTTGAAAAAAATGTGATAAGTTCTGGTCTGGCCTGACCTGTGTTGCTCTTTAGCCATCAATGTGACTGATGGCCCTGGAAATAATACTGGGAGTTGGGATTCCCTTTGGGACCTCTCCTGATGGTTTTCAACATATCCATTCTATTTGATAGCTAATGTTTTGAAAGATGTAGGTGTGATGTTGTATGCAAACAAGAAAAGTTAGTAGAGAATAATTGTATCTTGTCTGGACAAATGCTGTAATCCAGTTAACAGGATAGGGATGTAAATGGGCAAATTCTTTTAAGTGGAATAAAAATAAACTGAACCGTAAACCTGATCTTAATCCAAAGGTGATGATATCATGAACTAGTTCTGTACGTTTGAAGAAAGAAGCTGTGTCATCACTGGCAGCAAATTTAATGTTTAAAAAATTATTTTCTTTGCAGATCCCAGTGGAATCCAGACCCTGCTTTGCATGAAGGACACATTGTCTCAGCACAGGAGCTGGCTGTACTTCTGCAACCTGTTTTTACTCCAAATCCCAGCAACCTTGTTTTGTTCCTTCAAGAGAGGGTATGTAACATTAATTCCTTTTCCTTTACCAGTGCCAAGTGTAAGTCTGTATCTGAATGAGATAATGTGGCTCCTTCTCACCAATCTGCTCTCTGTTTTTCAGCTTAGCATAGACGATTTCACCTACTACAGTGAATCCTATGGTAACAAGAATCCATTTCAAAATGTTCAGGCAAGCATTTCTCTCTTTTACTTCCTTGTATGCATGTTTTTTAAATTGAAAATTATGTAAGAAGGATGCAAACAGACAATATCTGGCAATATTAAACCAAACTGCAGCAGTTTGCCAATTTATTTATTGAGATTATTTCAGTTTCAGCATATGGGCTAAAGAAAAACAATCAAGTATGCAGAAAAGTCTTTTGCGGCTATTTTATTTCAAAACACAGGTTTTCAGAATTATCTTAACTGAAAAAATTGTTTCTAAGCATGTTGCAATTTTGAATAATGAAAAGCTATGTCTAGACATAGGCATAAGTCCCAGACTGACACCCCAAAATAGTGTTTTGAAGCCACACAAAGAAAAGTAGTAAGGAATCAAGGATGTACTCCAGATTTTCAAAACTGAATACTTATTTTATTTTCATGCAAAGTGAAGCTGACTTGTCTCATCCAGACAGCTAATTTATTCCAAGAATCATAGAATATACTGAGCTGGAGGGAGCCCATAAGAATCATCAAGTCCAGCTCCTGCCTTCACACAGGATCACAGGAAAAGATGCGTGAGAGCATTGTCCAAATGCTTCTTGAACTCTGAAAAGCTCAATGCCATGACCAATTCTGAGGAGAAGTTTCAGAGCCCCCTCTTGATGAAGGATTTTGTACTGATTGCTAGCTTGAATTTCCTCTGTTGCAGCTCCATGTCGTTCCCTGTTTGAATAGTGTGAATATCTGCCTAGATACTGGATTGCTTTAATATTTGTGCTACTTCAGTAATCGAAAATAAACTCTAGGCACAGACTCTGAGCTGGTCATGAGTGTAAACTTCTGTTCCCAGTGAAGAGGTTTATAGATTTTTTGCTCAGTATCTCTGGTTGTACTTGCTTGACAGTTTATTGAATTGTAATTGGAAAAGGAAAGTGTTCTCACCTGAAAATCATTAAGGCATTTCTGTGGGCAGTGCAGGAGGGGCAGAGCTAATAATAATATAACTTATATCAAAGCACACAAAGTGTTAATTCCTAGGCACCACACAGCAAGCTGTATGTACAATCAAATACATAAATATTCACATATTACCCGTGTCTTTACCTATCCTGTGTAGGAACCTCACATCTTCATTGTATCCCTACTACTAACCTTCATCTCTTTGCCATATGACAGCATTTTAACCACGATGCTGGAACAAAAACAGCTATTCAGTGTATGTACATGGCTTTTTTGAGGAATGAATGGGGGTAACACTTATATGTAGGGTAAGGATTAGTGACTCCATCCTCAGGCAGGTGTATTGGTACTTCTCTGAAGTGCTGTACTTTCTCTGGGTTTCAGATCTGTGCACAATGGTGTCTGAACCAGTTTACATAGCCGTAAAGCTGGTTTCATCTTATAATTAAGAAGCTGTGTGTACATGACTGCTGCAAGTCCCTAATGATGTAATGGTCTACATCCAGTCATCACAGTTAAGTAAATCTTTGGTCTGTATCTGGCAGAAGAAAGTTTTGAATTCGCATTCTCAGCAAGCTTAAAGATCATCTAATCATCCAGTTCCATGCTGAGTGCAACAAAGGCTACAAAAATATGCTCAGTAGCTATCACATTGGTTGTGCTCCAATTGAGTTACTTTGGGAAAGAAATCCCTTCTTAATCATGCTATAAAAGACTGTAATATTCACAGAACAGTGGACAAAGAAAAGGTCAGATCTGGATTTTTTCACTGGGGAAATTAGAATCTTTCATGTTGCATAATCTGAAAGTTTTATACCTTCACAATCTAAGCTATATAAGTGATTCATTAAACTATGATAGATGTTCTGTATTACTCCAGCATCTTGCTGTTAAACTTCAGCAATCCAAATTTATTCACAAACAAACCAGAGATCTCATTTAGAGAGTGTATGTGCATGTAGCAGCACGTGTACTACAAAAAGAATGCAGTATTTGTAAGAGTTATAGACATGTAAACCACATGTGCAGATATTAGATTTGTTCAGCTACATTGATGCTGTTTTGAACTTTCAAAATCAGTGGTTTGTATGCAATAAAAGAATTCTATTTCCAGTTAATATAGAAAGGAATTTTGTAGGTCATTTATCTTAAACATTCAATAACTTCTTAATTAAATAATAAAGTACAAAGATTATCATTTGGGGATTTTTTGTGTGTGTGTTAAGTAGTCACCTATTCTACAAACTGTTTTTCTTTAATATTAGCATTGGCTTTCCCCAGGCAATAACTGAACATCTTAGGACTGCAGTGTACAGTAGCAAACTACAATTAGTTGCCAGCTGGGTGGCTGCATAATTATTATTGTAAGTCACTGCCTACTGTGGTTCTGGATCTCTGTCATGTCGTCATTCAGTAGTCATTTCTCTAGACTGTGGAGTACTGTTCAGTCACATTCAGCATAGAGGCCCTACCTGTAGTTTTGATCGTCTTTGTTGCCATTCCATGCACCTCTTTTAGTTTTATGGTTTTGTTCATTTTTGGGATTATTTCTGTTGACAAAGGAACATGTAGAACTGCATATGCATCAAGAGATAAGTGTGTCATAATTTATTCAGTCTCATGATGATTTGTTTTGTTCAGTCCTCAGTACTTTCCATCAAAACCTCCTAGTATTTTATTTTGTTTTGATGACTGTCAGCCACTGATCTGATATTAAGTTTCCTGTGTGAAGAACGACACTCAGTTCTCAATTCTCACACCCACCTTCCAAAAAACCTGAACAGTGAGATTTGTAAACAAGTCGTGGTGCTTCTTGCAGTATTTCACTCACGAGAGGTCCTTCAAGGGACATTAGAGAAGGCACATTAATCCGAGCGATTTAGCCATAGGTACATTAAAAATTCTCTTGTCAGTGTAGGAATTTGTGCTATCAGTCCTCAGGTCAATCGGAGGATTTTTTTTTCCAGTGCCAGGTGTTTCTCAGTTGTCCTCTTCATTCTCTGTCCACTTCTGGAGGTTTGGTATTTTGAATGCTCGTGGTACTTGAAATGCCAGAATGCCTGAAGCAACATACTGGTATTTTAAGAGCAAGTGTGCAGTGGTCAAATGTCAAGACGCATGTGATCAAAATGTCTGTCTGATGCTAATGAGGAAATATCCAGCTGTGTGTGCTCTTTGAATGGAAAATGGTTGAATACAAGTGGCTGGAAGCTGAGACAGATGGCACTGCAGGATTGGTTAGGAGCAGAGGCACAGTTCAGACATTACTCAGTAATTATGCATTTTATCTCTTATTCTATAATAAATGAGTAAACTGCTTAATATATATCCTTGATAGAACTGGCTGCCATTCTAGCTGCTGCTAAGCAGTGGAGGATTAAAATATTTTAAATAATAATCATAAAAACAAATAAATAATTGACAATTGGACTGTTGCTCAGGATTTTAGCCCTGAATTCGTACATGCAAAACAAACTAAAAGGGAATATATCATTCTTTCCTTCTAGAAGGTGCTAAGCACCCTGTTCAAAGATTTGTAAATGAGATCAGTGTTTTCTGTTCTATTTTAGTTTCTGTTCTGGTTTTTCTATCAGTATAGCAAATCAGACAATACCACATAATCCTCCTGTATGAGCATCTATAGAAATATGGAAAAAACTAACCTTTACTTAGGAAGGAAAACGTGCAAGCATTTAGAAAGGAACTGAGGAGGCCAGAAAAGTGGTAGGCAGTCAGAGAACAGACAAAAAGAAAAAAGAGTAGGAGGAGAAAAGTGTTAGCAACACCACAACACTTCTGTCACTAAGTGGGAGAAAAAGAATCTCAAACAACTCAGATATTTGAATGTTGGATCAAGTGACAGACTTGATCTAGGAGTTAAATATAAAAAATGAGAAAGCAAAGTTAACAAGTTGTAAACTAGAACTCAGGAAAAGAAATCTTCAAATCTTCATATGAAATTTTGTGTACGTCAATTTTGATCCTTCTCAACTCTCTGTCATTTATGTTCTTATCCAGAATTTTCCAAGTGTTTTTTATCATTCAGAAAAATCTTTGGGAAGGTATTTTTCAGCAATGCAGGCTTGAAATTTATAGAATGAGAATGACTAAAATGCATTTCACTTAAGTGTTTTCATCAGAAACTCAACCATGAGAATTATAAGTAATAGATATCCTGACATTTCTTTATCTGAGCTGGCTTGAGCCAGCCTTGGCCTGAGCCTTATAATTTGTGTTTTGAATGAATAGACAGAGTACACAATATGAAGTCTGTGTGTGCCTCCATACCAAGAATAGTTCAGTTCAGTTGGGAGGGACTTTCAAAAGTCCAACTGCCTGACTTCTTCAGGGCCAGTCAAGAGTTAAAGTGAGGTATTGTCCAGATATACCTTTAACACTCACGGGCATCATCTGCCACTATAGGAAGTCTGTTCCAGTTTCTAACGTGAGGAAATTTTTCATACTGTCGTGTCTGAATCTCCCCTGGTGCATCTTTGTTCTGTTCCCGTGCATCCTATCATTGGATCCCAGAAGCAGAACTTGGCCCACCCTCTCCAGTTCCCTTCCTCAGGGAGCTGCAGAGAGCAGTGAGGTCACCTGTTGGCCTCCTCTTCTCCAGTCCAGACAGCCCAGGTGTCCTCAGCCTCTCTTCTCGTTGGACATGCCTTTGTTGCACACCTCTAGATAATTTCAAGGACCTTAATGTCTTTTCTAGATTGTGCAGCCCAGAACTGCACACAGTATTTAAGGTGAAGTAACACCAACACTAAATATAGTGGGAGAATAGTCTCTTTGGACCAGCTGGATATGTTGTTTAATGCTTCCCAAAATGTGTTTTGTCCTCTTGGCTGTTGGCACACTGCAGGCTCTTGCTGTATCTGCTGTCATCAGCATCCCTAGATCCCTTCCTGCTGAGTCCTGCTCTGTCCCACGTGCAGAATCTGACATTTTTTCTTCGATGAAATAGCTTCATATCACTGCTGATCGCTCAGTGCTTCAATCTGTCAGATCCCTCTACAAGGCCTCTTGTCCCTCCAGGGAGCCAACAGCACCTCCTAGTTCAGTGCCATCAGAAAACACACTGAGAATGCATTCTACTCCTGCGTCCACACCATTGATAAAAGTATTGAACAGAACTGGCCCTGGAATTGAGACCTGGGGTATGCCATTAGTGACCACCTGCCAGCCTATTCACTACAGCACACTGAGCATTGCCATTGAAACAGTTCATCACCAGCATAGTGCAAACCTGCTTATCTCAAAGTTGGGCAATAGGCAGAAGAATGCCATGAAGGATAGTATCAAAGGCTTTCCTAAAATCTAGAAGTATTGTGTCCATGAACATCATCACCAGACAGATAACCTTACCACAGAGGGCAGGACTTTCCTTTCTTGAACCCATGCAGGTAACAGCTTTGTTCTGTAGTTGCCTTTCTATAACCCAGGTTAATTCTCCCCATAACTTTTCCAGGCTTATTATCTCTTTATATTATATCAAATTATATATCTCACTGAGATAAGATTAACAGGTCTTTGCCTTCCTGGGTCTTAAAGGAGCTCTGCACCTTTCTTGTGCTGGGGGCCCAGGCCTGGACACAGTACTCAAAGTCGTTTCAGGCAGAGTTCCTTGTTTAGCTAAGCTAGTCTTCTGCTCTGCTTTCTTGACTTGTGATACAATGAGATTACATGCTTGTGGGCTTTTAAGAAGTAGTTCTTGAAAAGCAGCCAGCTGTCCTGGATCCATAAACCCTCTCAAGCAGATCCCCCAGGCACAATGTGAACTAGCTCCTTGGATGCTTAAGGTTTGCACTCTTAGAGTTCATGGTGACAATTCTTGTGTAGATTCTAAAATATGCAGATTTATGTAGTTAATAGTTACAAATTAGATATCTATCTGTACTGCGTGCTACACCATTAGCATGTACACAAAGGAAGGTAATTTGGTAAGTGAAGTATGACTCCCTACTAACTAGAGCTGATGGAATGTGAAGTTTCCAACATTGATGTTTTTCACTAAGAGGTCATTTAGTTCTTGTGTGATGGCCCTCTGATGCCTCATCTTTTTGCCTCGTATTCTCCAGTACACTCTCCACCTTCTTCTTCAGCTTGAGAACTTCTACACCAGCTGCCTCTCCTTTTCCATTACACTCATGGAAAGGACAGTAAGATTTTGAGGTCACAGTGTGTCTTAAGCTTGCTCCAAAACAGTGCAGGAATAAGAGTGATGGAGATGTCAGTTCACTACACCTTTCCAGGAGCAGCCTGCAACCAGCATCAGGCTGGTGAGAGCTCATCTAGTGTTACCACACTGTTTTCTCACCTTAAGTATTAAATGAAGGATAGAGAAAAAAAATAGTTTGTGATTAGTATTAACTTATTAAATAAACTGTCCATAAATTTGTTACAGGAAATTCTTCAGTCTTCTCCTTCATCTTTAGTTTTGCCTGCTGTTGACTGCAAGGCTACCAGGGATCTCTTGAGCTTTCTTCAGGCATCAGGAGATTGGAATTTGCAAAACTTGACAAATCTTGATATCTCTCAGCTGGAAGTGAATACATCTAAACCAAACTTACTTGTAATTCAGCTACAACCACTTACCAGGTAGGACCTTGTCACAAACACATTTACCCAAATGTATGCAAGATTTTTACTGCTTTTTGAAAATATCTGTTGTATTCAGGAAATGTAAAAATCCGAAGAGTAGTTTACAGAGTTAACAAAGTTATTTTTCCAGCAAATGTGAATTCAGTGTTTTTTAATGTCCTCTGATGAGGTATAATAACTGAATTACATTGAGAAAGTCAGTCAGGCATTACTGTTTTGTCTGCTTCATTATATGAGAACAAAGGGACAACTAATAAACTAAATGGCAGCATACTTTAAGCAGAAAAGCTGAATTATTTTATGCAACATGTGATTAACCTGCTGAATTAATTGCTAGAAGACATTTCAGGGGTCAAAGAACTGGCAGGAAAGATAAACAAATAAACATCCAAGCATCCTAGAATTTCATATGAATAATGAGACTAGTTTTCATCAATCTTAAAGGAATAGGAAGCCTATAAAGCTTCCTGTTTCCTGACCTGTAACAACTGCTGCCTAATGGAGGCAGTCTGTCCCTTCAGGTGAATGCTAGTGCCTGATTTTGTTACCTGCAGGGCTTTTACACTGCTGGGGGTTGACTGGTATAGAGCACTCCTGGTCACAGGATGTGGGTCATGGAGCTGATCTAGATTAACAACCATCAAATGCAAGGAAATCTGGGGAGAGAATGGTCAAAAGAAGATCAGTAATCTGTCTTCTCTGCAGATAAGGAAGTCTTAGGTTTTGGAGGAATCAGCTAAAGATGTGATCCTCGTATGAACTGCTTTGCAGAAGGAGAAGTTCATAAGGAGGAGATGAGAAAAAGATGAAAAAATATTGTAGTCTGCTGAAAGTGACATGCTGATTAGTATGTACCTGTATACATTTCTGGTTCACACTGTTGTATAGCAAAAAAATTTAATTATCTTTCTCCCACTTCTTTGTAGTGATTTAAATGAGATTTCCACCCTGGAAGCAATTGCTGAAAATGGTAAGCAATATAGCCAGGACGTAGCAAACATTTCACCACTTAAGCCTGTTTTTGCTTGAACAGATTGTATTTCCTGTTTTTTCCAGATTTTGTTGTAATACTGTTTAAAGCTTTTTCTGCCATCTACATACCTATAAGCAGCCAATTATCATCCTGTTGAAGTACTGAGTAATTCAGAATCCACTGAAATGGATACATCTCTGTGCCCTGAAATGTGGTGATGATTCACCTCTGCCGTAGGCATCCCAAATCCCTGCAATGGGCATGGCACCTCCCACCAGATCAGGCTGCTCAGGGGCCCATCCAACCCAGCACTGAACACATGCCAGGGATGAGGCACGCACAGCTTCTCCGGACAACCTATTTCTGTGCATCACCAGCCTCTGAGTAAAGAATGTCTTTAAAATATTTTAAATCTATCCTCTTTCAGTTTAAAACCATTACTGTTCAGTTCTTCCTTCTTGTCTCCAAAAGCTTTGGCTTAATGTCAGCCTTGGCTAAACATTGCCTTCTTTTTTATGGGACATTTTTTTCATCAGCTGCACAAGCACAAGAACAGGCCTCCCAGATCCTGCTTCAGGCTGCTTTTGTGTTGGAACAGTAAAGTTAATGGGAGACCTTTGGAATGACTCAGGAACAGGCTATACCAGCTTTGTGGTTAGTTTCAATTACCTGCTATCAGGAAGAAGGTGTGTGGATTGTGGAAGATGTGCTGCTTCATATGACCAAGTGCAAAATCTTCACACTGTGTTCAGTTGCAGTTATGCTCTAGAAAAGTGTTAGTGTGGGCTGAATTCTCATGTTCTGGCACATCTGCCAAATTGGCCATTGAACACTTGCTGAGTAGAACCTGCAGATATCATCAGCTGTAAGTTTTAAATCACATGCAAGCTGAGCTGCAGTTCCTTAAAGTTATCCTACTTGAAGTCTGTGCGGTGGAAAGGACAGACTCAAGTGGGTGACTGCAAAACTGCCAGAGGAGGGTCCCAAATCATGTGGTCAGACAGGTGTGGGTGTCCAAGCACTTGCTGCAGCAGGAGCATAGCCATTTGCAGAGTACTGTTGCCAGGACATCCATCAAGGTCGTAAGGGCTTGCAAGGCCATGAGTTATTGGTGTTTGTTATGGAGTGAGTGCTGTTAGCACTATCTGGATAAGCAACCAAAAATACTGTGTGTCACATACCTGTAAGGTGACAAGAGAATTGTTAACCAGTACAATGCTGCTTGTAATTTTTGAACAGCATTAACTCTAAACCCATAGTAAATGAGGGCAGATCTCTATTATGCTGCCTGGAAGTTCACAAAGACTCTTATGTTTGTCACATCAACTTAATTCCTTTCTGCTGTAGAGGGTTTTAAAATCTGCTGTAATAAGACGTCAGAGAAATCTCTCCTGCTGTTTTACTCACTGCAGACAGCAATCTCTGTCAGACAGAGCAAATGGGTTCAGATTCTGCCCAAAGGAAATGTGCGGTTCTGAACACTCTAGAAGCTAGAATAAGCAGGAGTTTTAGCACGTCATTAAAATGAGACTCATTACAAAATCCAAACTGGAATTCAGAATTCAAACCTGCTTAAATTTCAGCAGATTCAGAATTTTTTCCAGTCTCTCCCTTCATACATGCATAGATAGACAGATATTGGGTAATTTCTGTAAAACAGTTGCTAGAAATACTATTTCTTCCTCTCTCTCTCTTTTTTTTTTTTTTTTTAATTGTAACAAGGTTTTTAGAGAAAGGATCCTCCTTTGTCAGCCAGGCTGTACATTTCTTCTCTCTTTTTGCTTTTTTTTTTTTTTTTTTTTTTTGTGTGTGTGTGTGTGCGTGTGTGCTGCTTTTCAGTATTTCTTTCTTTCACTTGCATGAAATAGTTTGAGAGTGTTACTCAGGTTTTGCCAGTTCTCCTAAATATTTCTTTGCACAGGAGAAGGTTGAACTATGCCTTATCAGTCTTACCTGTTGTGTGCAGTGTACCTCAGAATTAATGTCAAAGCTGCTTGTGAGTCTGTGTGTAAGATGAGGCTCTTTAATTCTTTTGTGTGTGTTCTTCTTTCTGCTCTGATTCTCAGTTTATCCCTTTTTCCACTCTCTCCTCTCCCATTCCCCATCCATCTTGCTCTATTCTTTTCTTTCTCTCTTACCTGTAGCGTATATTCTTTATTTCTTTTTCCTTTTCTCCTTCCAGAACATTGCTTCTCAGTTCCTCTATCCTTTCCATCCATGTATAAAAGCATGCAATGAAAGTAAAGTAGATTAGAAATTAATAACAGCACTAATCCTGCAGTCCCTGGTGAAATTCAGGGGACGTGCCTTCAATGAGACGGAAAGTTTTAATCCTTCCACCAGAGCATAGCATGCAATTAAGCTAACTGCAGAGAGTTATTCTGGACAAACTGTTTCACATTCATAGACCTACACAGTGTTTCTTTGATTCATACTGACTAAAATACCTGCAATAATGCCACTCTAAAATCCCTCTAACATTAATATCACCATCTGGAGATGCCTCTTTTTCTACTACAGAAGGAGGCTGGATTAACTAATGTTCCTGTGTAGGCAAACAGGTTCAGTACTTCAAGATAGAATGGGCAAATCTTGACCGTTTTGCTGGGAGATCTGCAAACACTTCATTAGCAAGGTATCTGGCTCGGGAGAATCTTATCACATACAAAGAAAGATCTATTTCAATTTTACTATGAATGAATGAAGAAATTTCCTCTAGAATCTTCCCAAAGGCCAAAGCTGTAGATTTTAGCAGTAACTATAGTTACATGTAGCTCCTTAGTGAAGCAAAATGTAAATAGTGTGTTATTTCATAAAGCAATCAGTTGTTTTAATGGAAGAAAAAAAAAACACAATCTGTGCATTTTTCAATGCAGTATTTTCCTTCCTGTAAGTTCTGGCTGAGGCTGCTGAGAATTTCTGATGAGCTACTCTCAGTGCATGTAGATTTGCATACTAATCTACATTACGTAATTCCTTGGACAACTACACCCAGTACAATTTCACTTGTAGTGTATAGGCATTTGATTTTCTGACCAAGTCTGTTTCTTATTTAATAGTAGATGTTTTTATTGATAATTTTTTAGAAGGAAACTTCACACAGCTATGATTCTTGACTGACATGAGGAAATCAACTTGCAAACAAGCTGTTATGCAACCTTACATAAAAAGTAATACTTATATTTTCACAAAAGCTAGGCATTTTACTCAGTCAGGAAGCCATATTCACAACTCAGATGGTTGTGATCAGTGGCATGATTTCCAGTTAGAGGCTTGTAGCTGGAGGTGTTCCCCAGGAGTCAGTACTGGGTCCCATCTTGTTCAGTTTCTTCACTGATGGCTGAGTGAAGGGATAGAGTGCACCCTTAGAAGGTTTACTGATGACACAAATCCAGGATGAGTGGTTAACACACAAGAAGGCTATGCAACCAGTCAGTGATTCTTGAACAGGCTGGAGAGTTCGGTTGAGAGGAGCCTGATAAGGTTCAACATGGGCAAGTGTAGAGTCCTACACCTGGGGAGGAATAACCACCATGCATCAGTACAGTTTAGGGGCTGATCTACTGGAAAGTAGCTCAGCGGAGTACGGCCTGAGTGTACTGGGGGACAACAGGTTTTCCATGAGCCAGCAGCATGCTCTTATGGCCAAGAAGGCCAGTGGTATCTTGGAGTGCATTAATAAAGCGTGGCCAGCAGGTCAGCGGATGTGATTCTCCCCTCTCCTCTGTCTTGATGAGGCCAGATCTGGAGTACTGTGTCCAGTTCTGGTCTCCTTGGGTCAAGAAAGAAGGGGAACTACTAGAGTGAGTCCAGCAGAGGGCGACAAAGATGATGTTGGGCCTGGAGCGTCTCCCATATGAGAAGAAGCTGGGTGACTTGTGACGGGGAGCTGTTTAGTTTAAAAAAGAGAAAGCTCAGAGAGGACCTTGTCAACACTTACGAGTATCTGAAGAGCGGAATTCAAGTGCATGGGGCCAGCAGTGGTGCTCAGAGACAATACAAGATGCAAAGGGCACATCTGAGCATGAGAAAAACTTCTTCACTTTGAGGCTGATAGAGCACTGGAACAAGCTGTCCAGGAAGATTGTGGAGTCTGTTTCTCTGGAGATACTCAAAACCTACCTGTATGCTTTTCTGCGTGACCTATTATGGGGAACCTACTTTAGTGGCTTGTTGGACTAGATGATCTCCAGAAAACTCTTCCAAACCCTGCAGTTATCGATTCTGTGAGTCTATGTGATTCTATAAGTTAAAGAGGTTTAAAAGGCTAATAATATAAGCTTCACTTCCAAAATGTGAAAATAAAATATAATTTCTGTAAAGTGCAATGTTGTAATCTGAGAAGCCTGCTTGTACAGACTGTGTAATAGCCATTCACTAGAATATTACGTGGATGAGTAGAGGAATGGCACAGAAACAGTCTGTGTCAGTCTGTTGGCTTATTTCTTTCTGAGTCCTAATGGCAATTGTTACATCAGTTTTTGAATCACAATTGTTATGTTCCTCATCATAAGTAGATGTTAATATTTCAGCATACAAGTTGAAAACATTTACTAATTCTAAGTATTTGTCACAACTACCTGTCATTTCAGAGCTGAAAGTGAATTTTCTGCAGTTTCTTGGACCACACTGAAGGATCCTCTCTTCCTTATTTGATTTTCCTTCCTGTTTTGGAAATATGTCAGTGATTTCTATCTTGCTATCCACTGTAGTCAACAGCAAAATTTTCCATTCTGTACTCTGTTGAGAGTACAGAATCAGGCTTTAAATCCATTGAAGCAAAAATATTATACATATCATGTTCCAGGCTAAGTACTGCTGCTATTTTGAGGATTGCTTCTCAGTGATCTGTTGTTCTGTGTGCTTTGTAATTCACAGCTTGGTACTAGTTCAGCTTTATTAGTTATTTATTTATTAACTGGTCATTTGACTGACAGGATATGCATTGTGCTCTCATCTCTTGATGGATTTATTCTTCTCTTGCATTGAATTTCTCAAACTTCTGTGTTTCAGGTATTATTTTTCTTGTATTTACTTGTCAGCTTCAAAACTACATTTTCTGAACATCTACTTTTTTCTGAACATCTTTAATGTATTTGTTTTTGTATTGTCTCACTGGATTGTTCATTTTTCAGGACAGTGAACACGTCTTATCCCATTTGTACCTATTGACATATGAATGGTACTAGCAACTAAATTACATAAATAAACTAAATAAGCTTAAACATCTAGCTCATTACTTTGTCGACTACTGTAGGATTATAGCTTCCTCAGCATACAGGATTTATTAAATTATACATGTTTCTCTTTATAGATAAAATAATTGGAAGACTGACCAGGGATCTGCAGGAACGAGGGATTCATTTTTCAGTAATTTATACTGCAGTGAGACCTTCAAGGGTGAGTAATCTTCAGTGCCTAGAACTGTCAAGTGGTTGTCATCTAACAACTGAATGTTTACAGAAGAATGATGTAGATGATTTTCAAGATTACACATGCAAGCAATCTGTATTATATGAGGTTTTGACCAGAAATGACTCCGTGAGTCTTCATATGCAATAGCTGTGTTACAAAACTACTAAAATCATAGAATCATAGAATCACTCAGGTTGGAAAAGACCTTAAAGTTCATCGAGTCCAATCAGGACTTAACCATACTGCCCTAACTCTAACAACCCTCTGCTAAATCATGTCCCTGAGCAAAAAAAAGATAAACGAGACTATATGTTTGCAATGTCTTTAGTTGTCCTTACAACTTATTTTTAGTGACTATAATGTTTAACAATTTTTTAATAGTTTTATAGTAAGTTTTATGTGAAGCATTATTGGGCTTTTTCAGGTCAGTAAAGATAGAACGTATTTAATTAACTGAAGGCTGCTAATTTAGTCGTTTTTAAAGAAACTGGTTTCTTCAGACAATATTTGTATTTACAACTGCAACACAAAGTTTCCACCACCATTGCTGATAGTCAGTACATCATGTATAGATCATCGTATCATGTTAACAGTAAGTAGCAGTGCAGAATAGTTACTTGCATTATCTGTTTTGTATGACGAACAGGTTGTCTTGGAGCAGTATTCACATTTTAATGGAATTAAATGACTTGAGGAAAACAAAATGCAGCTCTCTCTCAAGAGAGGTGTAGGAGGGATGTGCTGTATCCCATAAAGTAGCCACTTTGAATGAAAATTGTCTCATCCAGTGGATAATACAACTGAGCTGCTAATACAACGCTTAGTTTAGTTTTTTAATTCAAGCTCGGGATAATGCCAGTTGAAAATACAGAAGTTATAATTTTCTTGGGTTTGAGAACAGGAAAGTAATTACTGAGATTGTCTAGATCTCCATTGAGCCCTCAGGCAGGATCTTGAGAAGATGGAGGGTTTTCAGGAGGGAATGCTACAAACACTATGAATTGTTTGTAGCTCAAGAATACCTAGAAAACCTGCTTTAAATGGTTCTGAGGTCTATTTAGCTCACCCGAAAGAAGAGTAAGACTGCACTTCATAAATGATCCTTTTTTGTAAAGCCAAAATTTGTTATGTTTCTCAAAGGTGTCCTAGGTTTGATCAGAAATAACTTGTGTTTTTGCAAGGAAATAGCATATTAAACCTCTAGCTAGGAGTCAGAATAGTCCCTTCAGACTACGGGCAAAAGCTAATGCTATTGAAGAAAAACAGAACTTTCCTCAATCATCCATCCTGTAAACTAAGCCTACTTCCAGAGGCTTAGTTTTCAAAACCAGGGTTAGAACATAGACATCAGACTGAGCAGGATGGGGAAGCTCACACTGATACTCTTGTGATGTGCATTTTTTGTGGATAGGAGAGGGTAAGAGTTCTTTGGACTTCCAAACTCCTTGCTTTCTTTTTTATTTTTCAAAGACTGCATTTTTTCTTTTAATGAAGATATGACAAAAATTATTCAGTTATTATGTCTTTTTACTCTTGAAATCAAAAGAGGCATGGGCGATGGGCATTCTTAGCTGAAAACTGCATTTAGAACAATTAGAATGAAAAATACTTTTAATTAATGGAAGAATTGGTATCTAGAGAAGGAATTTTTAGAGTAATTTTATAAGTTTGTTGAATTTTAAAACTATGCGGATTTCAAAAGACTTTCTAAATTAAAATGACTTAGTTTGAGCAAGTGAAGCACTTTTAAATAATTAAAGCAATGTATTTTAAATGTTCTGCATTTTAAAAAGTAAGCAATTTAAACTTTTCTTAATTCTGTGAACTTAATACCATATAAAACTTTAGGAAGCATTTTTTATACAATTACTTTAAGTTATTGCAGTGCATTCACAGTTATCAACTTCTGTTCAGGGCTAGGGCGGTGTCTGCCTGATTTGCATGTAACCTCTTCTTAGTGTGTATTACATATCTTTGGTGTGCTTGAACTGTGGAAGATGTGAACTGTTTTGCACCCATATTTTAGAGGACTGATTCCCTCTGCTTAAACTGTAGGCACCACATTCAGTGATCTACCAATTACAGGGTCACTCCCGAAAACTCAATATGAGAAGTAAAAGGCTTTCATTGTGTGGGAAAAGATTTCACATTACTCAGTACTTTTGAAAATCAATACCAATCATTTCCTATAAAAGATTTGCATTTCCTAAGTGGGCTTTTTTTTTCCTGCTGATGAGGAAAATGAGCTAAAAGCATGACATTCTCAAGAATGAAGGAAAAAAAAAAGATCTCATTCTGATGGGTTAAATTAATTTTACGCAATGAAGCTTCCAAACTCTGAGGTTGTGAGATATTTCTATCTTGACAGCTATACCTCTGCTGCTGGACAGTTACTGGCTTCATAGCATCTTCTTGTTTCATCCATTCCTTCTTTCCTTGCCTAAAGCAAAGAAAAATAAATGTGAAAAACGCATATATTGGAAAAGATTCCAGACTGGTATTGGCTTTGCAGAAAGTGAATTAGTGAGAAAGGAAGCAAAACTCTCCGATGACTAAGTCCCTATTCTGATCTGATGAGGAAGATCTGTTCAGTTTAGTCAGTAGCCACAGATCCCTTTGGGCTATCTTAGCTATTAGTTAATAACCCCAGCGCATTAAAGAGATTTATTCCACCTTGTTCCTGTTCTGTTCCAGTTTAAGAGCTTGAAGCTGGGAGACAGAATTAAGACCTTGAAACAGAGTCTGTTTGAAACATGGAATGGTTTCACTATTCAGTTGCTGTGGTATAACTGAGCTGCCTTCCTGCAACAAGGCAAGTGCTGTATCTTGTGACCCCTCTGAGATGCTTTGCCCTTGAGGCCTGGCTGACTTGGGCTGGCACTGAGAGACTGGTTTGTGTCATCTAATTCTGGGCCAGTGAAATGTAAATGTCATCAACCAAGGCTCTATTCACAGTCAAAGGACTGACTGAAATGGTCCTTTTATGGTGTATTTCTTTTGCCTCTTACAGATGATTGCTATAGGAAGAGAGGAAATGCACACTTTATCTCTGACAAGCATAATGACAATCGACATGTTTAGGTCAAGTTTCAACATAGGTGTTTAGTCAGGCAGCACTTGTTGAGCAATAGCTTTAGTATTGTTTTCCATTAAAAAACAGAAGCTTGTTTCAAGATTTGAGGGGTCTCTTTCCAAGACCTTTCTCATCCTTAAAACTCATTTGGTAGCTTCGTTTCTCTGGGAGAATCATCAGAATCCCCCTCCACAGTCCCAGTTCCATTCTTGAATCAGGAAGTCATCTTCCCTCCAGAGAGAGCATTTCCTTTCTTCCTCAGTTCCTGTGAAGACTGAGATGCTGGGAATGGTGGATGCTCTCATCTGGAGAATCAGGACAAGGAGATGTGTTGGCCTAAAGTGCTGTGCACTGGTGTCTCCTGTTGGAGCAGGGAGTTCTTTCTTGTTTCTGAACTCCCTTAGAATTGTAGCGCAGGAGGATGGGAAGAGCTGGGATTCACTCTATCTACTGATAGACTGTGCTGCATATCTCTGTTGGTGTGTCACCACCAAATCTTGTTCACCAAGGAAATTACTTCCGTGTTTTCTCATGAAAGCTTACAGAATTCTCATGCCATGTCATAAAGGGACTACAATCAGGTTTAGCTTACTTTGAGTCTTGAATGTATGAATTTTAGTGGTTTTGAGAGCTGTGGTCAAAGTCACCCCTCCTTGTGCTGACTGCCAGCTAATTTTTTCGGCTTATGTTTGTAAGCATGACATTGCTTGTTCTGTTGTAACTGGAATGGTTAGAAGACTGTGGTGACTGAAAGGTAGCCCTCAAATTGTGAATCTCATGTTGTTTCCCATCCTTCAGGTCTTTGTGTTGTCCATGTCAGGTTTTTACAAGTTTGCTTCTGAAACTTCTGCAAGACAGTTTTACAGTTTCCTAGTTGGACTGAATTCTGAAGAGATGAATATTGCCAACGGGAGGTTTATGGCTACTTCCCAGCTGATGTTCATTTTGTTGACGCCACTTTTTACGGATGCATTGTGAGGTGCTGCTCAAACCTCCTCTACTGCCTCGTTTTCAGAGAGTTGCATCTACCGTGGGCTTTTGACTGCTTCCCGTATGAGCTGTCAGCTGTAGATAGCATCTAAGCTTCTTGCATCTTTGGTCCCACAAAGAGACAAGCAGTCTGAACTCCAAGAGCAACCATAAATAACATGGGCAGCACAAATGGTTGACTCTTTAGAAAGTTTCTTGAAGGTGTAGATTCTCAGGTGATACAGAAACGAGCCTTGGTTTAAAAAGAGTTGGAAAAGATTTTATCTTTTTTGGCAAGCATCTGTGGTTGTATTTTCTTTGTTTCTGCTTTTTACCTACTGCATTTTTTTTCAAGTGCATTTTGCAGTGCTGCATCTTCTACTGGCATGCAGCTGCTCTCTTTCGTACACCATGCTGAGGAGACTAAACACTGCAACCCCACTGACTTCACAGCTTCTGATTAATGAAGTGCTTTAAATTGTTAAATATAATGAAACATTATAATGGGAGCTTTTCTGTGAACCAAATGTTGGAAAAGTGCTTATAATACCACTTACTGAAGTTGGGGTTGTAGGGTAGATGCCCTCACGCATCATTAAATAGGGGAAGAATCTTAATCATTTACTTTTGTGTTTTTCACATTTGAAAAAGCAATTATAGATTGACATAGCATAATAATGCATTAAGGCTTCCAACATAAAAGAAGAAACACATGAATTCTTCATCCTTAAGCCTTCTCTCTCTTTATAAGTCTATTATAATAAAAAATAAACTTTAACTTATAGATGAAGAGTATGCACTTAATTATTTCTAGCTAACTCAGTTTTTTTCAACTTAGATGAGGTAGAGTTTTTTAAATAATTACAGAAGATCTGCTTAAAGCTGGTTGAAGCCAGTTATGTGTTGCTTTAGACCAAAAAAAAAAGAACAAAACATTTAGCCA